CAGATGAGTTAGGACCGAGTTGGTTAACTCATAGAGTAATTTCGGATAGGGTACACCGTCTGCTCGTCACGCTATCTTATTTTCGGCCGGATAGATTCGTGCAACTTCTTAGTCTAATACCGATCCTAATCTTACTCTTATACTATCTAGTCTCAGGTTGTTTAACTAGTCTCTGCTAGGCTCAATAGATCTAGGGTATACTGGTTTATTGCGGCTGCTGAAGTGCTCGGGAGAGTCCAACTAATTTCTAAGTTAAATTCAAATCTCTCTGGTGCTGAAATTACAAGTAACTTCAGCACTTACAAATAAGTGGGTTGTTAGTTAGATGGATCATGATTGGTTAATATTAAATACTTTACATTGGTAAAATATCTAATTTATCCAATCATAAAATGTAGTTTAGATCAGGTTCCAAAATCATGTAGCGTAACAAGTTTTTGGCCAACGACTTGCCGTTTCTTGTACTCTGTGAAAGCTAAGAAAATTGAAACTGATTACAGGACAACTTTTGAAGAAATAAATTGAAAAACAAAATTAAAGTTTTTTCTTGGAAAATTTTTGTGAGTTTTTTTTCGGAATTATGGTCATTCCGAAAATACTATTCCAGGATCTTGTTAACTATCCCCCCATTGCAATAGGTGGGGGGGGGGGGTGAAATAGTTAGAAGGTACAAAGTTCTTATAACCTTAACCGTTCAATTCTTTCTTTATAGGGGGGATATTCTTTACAAGATACGATAGGGGGGAATAGTTAACAAGATCCGTATTCCATAAGTATTCTATACGCACGTAATCTAAAATAGTTTTTACAATAAAACTCCCGCACCGGAGTTCCATGGATGATAATCAATTATAATGGAAAATTGTTGTCTAAAATGATGCCATTATAATCCATTATTGTTGCATATTTAGACAAGGAAATCCAATATTTTGTCATTATAATCGATAATTTTTGTAAAAACACAATCCATTAAGATCAGTTATAATGGATTATAGTCCATTTAAAATAAATTATAATTAATTATAACGGATTATAATCTTTACAGATTTTTGCAAAATCATTTGCAAAGCTTGCAAGTTTTCTGCGTTACTCACGGCCTACTCGCAATCTTAACCTACTCAAATTAACCCCCCCCCCTCATTTTGTCCCTCATCCGCATTTTCCTCTCCCCCCTCACACCCGCATTTAAACAACACCGCTACTTCTATCCCTACGCCCACCCCCATGTTTACTAAAGTTCACCCCCCCCCCCCCCCCCCAAGATACAATTAACCCCCTACCCCCCCCCCCCCCCACCCGGAAACCCCACCCACGGCCCCCCACTCTATCGATTATAGTGGATTATAATGTTATAAAAAATACAAAGACTGTAATCCTTTTTTCATGGAGTATAATAAATTTTGTTGGAACTTTATTGATATTGACTATAAAATGACAAACTGATGATTGATTATTATCCATAGAACTCCAATGCGGGTTAGAAAGTGATTCAAAAGAAAAAACTAAAAATTTGTACTTTATACTCGATTTCATGTTCCATTTAAATGAAAGTTATTCAAATTGACTAAAACTCAAACTCAAGCTAGTTTGAGGTTAAAGAACATCAAAATAACGCCATTAAATGATCATTGTCAGCTGTATCAAAATGATGCATTGGGTATTTGACAAAATGAGAGCCTACAAAATTAGACGATTAGACGACAAGCAAACTGGACGATCTTAAAAGAATTGAATCTAGACGATAACTCTTTGTCCATTTAGACGACAAGAATTTGGCCGAAAATTTTTTTTGCTCATACTAATGTTACACAAAAGCAAAAAGAGTAAATTATGACAAAACCGATCAAACCATTATTATGAAACCATGTAGAACTGGTGATTCTACTGTATTACATGCTTTAGTAACCTGAGCGTAAGATTGATTCGTCATTAAGTTAAGCAGTAGAGCAAACAAAGGGTAAAGTTCTAAATAGTTCAATCTTCGAAGATATCGTCCCTCCTATGCCAGAAATCAAAATTTGACAAAATCGGCGAACCCCCCACCCCCCAAATTGGAACTAAGAAAGCTAATGCTATGAAATTCAGAGGAGCGATACTAGAGATGATTTGACCCGGGCATACAAAAAACGGGATCCCTCAGACCCTTGGGGGCAAGTGATAACGGTCCCCGGAAGTGTTAATGGCCCTATCAGAACTCGGAAACTAGCGGCGGTGTTGGGCTCAAAATTTAATATGTTGTAGGCCTAGTTAAGGGGAGCTTAAGTTTGGGAACCCAGACCCCTCAGACCCCCACTTCCGGTTTTATGCCCTAAGTAAACAAACCCACCCCTAACTTCTGGAAGTCGTTTCTCGGCCTCCATTGATCGCAGGGAGCTGAAATTTGGAGGAATGATAGATAGTGGCAAGATACATCTTGTATTATAATTTGAACCAAACACAGCGGTTGGACCGGAAGCTATTAGCACTTGGAAAAACACCCCCTTAGACTGCAAGTAGGCAATTTACGCAAAATATTGAGCGAGGGCATACCGATTTTATTGCGACAATGGATATAAGGTACCGACCCCGAAAAAGGACCCCTAGTGATTGAAACCCCTCCGGTGACTCCTTCCGGTGTTAATAGTTTTTTCCCGGGAAAAGTGATAATGGACCTTAGAAATGGGATAACTTGTGAACTATTGATGGGATATGAATGAAACTTAGTAGTTAAGACCCCCATGGGATTCTAAAACCAAATATGGACGCTTGACCCCGGTTGACCCCTGGGTGATCTTAAGTTGACATTTGGGCTTTTTGACCCCAAATTTGCATGGAAAACCCCGAGATTAACACCGGAAAGTGGCGTATTTCCCAGCCCAACCCCTGGAAATGAGAATGGGTCAACTTGCTGAAAATTGGGAAGAAAAGTTATATATTGGGAACTAGAGCAGAAGCTGATAGAGATATAGCTTTTACATTGCAACCTTGGAGTAGAGGATTTAATTTAAGGTGGACTTGGTAAACATTGGGTTCAATTTAGCTTGGCGAAAGTGCTATTAATAGAATATCAATCAGGGTAAAAGAAAAGTAGTCCCAGAGGAAATTGGTAGTAACAGAGGCATAGCAAGAGGGTTAAGTTTCCTAAATAGTGTGAATGGACGGGAAATTTACTTGGCTCACCGGAGTTGGCTTTTTGGTTTAATTTGACCCCTAATAGACGAGCTACGTTCTCCTGATAGCTAGAAGGTCGGGATTGAAATAGAGTACAGATAGAAAGTTTAGATGCCTGAAATTAGTTAGCTACCCATGAAAAGTGCCGTCCCCTACCCTTGGGAGGTCGGAACGTTAACGGGATATTTAAAAAAGAGACCATGGGAGGATTACTGTGTAAACATAGCTTGATTTGGAGGTTAGCTGAACTCGAGAGCTGAAGTTCACAGAGTACAGGAATTGGTTGATTAGAATCGTATGACATTTGTTTGTTCGGTCCAATTGTGACAGCTACCGCATACTGGGTATCTAATAAGCGTGAAAAGATTGAAAAAAGAAACCGAAGTTGGCACGTGCCAGAGTTGACAGGGGAGGTATATAGTCTTTAAACATGTGCGGACAAGTGATTAGGCGGATATCAGGACTGATAGGGAATGGCGTTATTTAACTAAAACTAAGTGTAAAAAAAGATAAGGAATTGGAGGGTACCGGAGATCCTGTAAGAGTCAGAACAGTCGTGCGCTACCATTGAGAGTAGTTGGTTCTCGTCAGAGAAGAAATATTGCGAGCGAATTGAATAGTTGGTTCTCAGCTAGTTAGAGAACGAGTTGGAAGACTTGTTATTGTGAATGTAGATTAGTTAGTGAATGTTAGTTGGGCTATCTAGAGGATAGCGGAATCGTTGTTGAACGATTGCTATTGAAAGAAGTTCTCGAGGAGAGCGTTAGTTAGTAGTAAGGTGTTAATTGAACTGCAGGAGGCAGTTGGTTTTAATAATAGTAATCGCGAACCCTTTTCTTTAATTGAATGATTAATTTATATTTCAGCCAAATATAGGCTACTTTGTATTTGGTTGTAATCATTTCTTAATTCATTCTTTTTATTGGAATTGTTGTTGCGATTGATTAGTGATTGACGGGTGAGATACAGTCGGAAGAGCACGAATCACGGGGCGAGCAGCACAGAACAGTACAGAGCAGCCAACCACCAAATCAACCCTTTTGGGATTGTGAACAGTACTGGGAATCGGTTGCCCCGCTGACCTCAGTACCAAAGGGAACATATTGCGGCGGTGTGAAATAGCGAGCAAGACCGGCCTAGAGATATTGTGAATTCCCCCAAGTTTACCAACCATAACGCAGGTTATCGTCGTCTAAATTTGTGTCTTGTCAGTTATACCCCCTCTTTGATAAAAAAGAAAATGATTTTTTTTTACAAAATTGGGTTGATATCATTTAGAAATGGCGGCGAATATACTGAGCATTGAATCAACTGGGAAATATGCCCAAAATGAGACATGAATGACAACTAAATACGAATCTGATATCATACCTGAAAAAGTCATGAACATTTCGTGGAGAAACAGCAAAAAATTAGAGAAAGTGAGCTGATTTATTTTGACTACTCATATAGTACTATCTCACCTGTTTTCAGGGGCGGATTTAGGATTTTCGAGGGAGGGGTGGATTTTCAAAAAAAATTTCGAACTTTTTCTTAGGTCGACCGAAATGATTTTTTGAGCTCTTCCTAAGCACGGTTTGGTCCCTGTTTGGTCAAATTTTCTACACCACTAAATCCGCCCCTGCCTGTTTCAGTAATTTCGATCCATTTTTGATGTTGGAACTTTCAGTTTCAATTCCAATATTAGGCGCTATCTTGCAAAAGACTCTTAAATTCAGTTTCTTTTTTATCGTTTACTTTGCTTGTCGTCTAATTTTCTAGCCCTCTCAATAAATTGGTTTTAGAAATACCTTAAACTTTGGCTTTTGTTGTAATTTCTATAGGATCTAAACTCAAAGTTTGTCATTTCAAATCGGAAGAGCGGTGTTTGCCTTCTCGACTCAGCTGATTTGTTTTACTTTCATTGCATCATCTAATATGTATTAAGCTGTCATAGGAAATACCAAGTCAAATGCTGAATTATTTGATTTTCGCAAAAAGAAAAAATAGATGAACTTTAAAATAAAACAGTGAAAAAAATCTTGCTCAAAACATTTTTACTTTAATAAACCGATTAATTTTCGCGTCAAAATGGCCCAAGGCGGAACAGAGATGAAGTGCAGCGTTTGTCTCGGTGCTTTCATAAATCCCCGTATTTTACTTTGCGGGCATTCGATTTGCTCATCTCCAAGATTCTGCTTATCGGGTATTCTTCGGTCTGAAGTTAGACAATGCCCAATATGCAGAGAGCCTATTGATCGAAGTCTTCGAAACGAAAGTGAGTTCACAGTGAACTACGGATTGAAGTCAGCTGCTGAGGTTCGTTGATTCGATGTTTCGAAATATAATATATCTTTTACTGCAAGTGAACAGATTTTTATCTTGCCCACAAACTTTTGAGGATATTTAAGAGCCCAAAACCTTGATGTCCAACTTAACATTATAGCTAGAAGCTCGTCGTCTAATTTCATTACATGCATAAAAATAATTAACTAATTGTTCCGACCGAGGAACTTTGTATCCGACCGAGGAACTTTGAACTTTGTATAAAAAAATGAGAGGAACTTTGTATTCAGGTGTGTGTTAGTTTTTTTTCGTTTTCCAAGCAAAATAAGCTATCACAATAAATCATCGGAACGAGTTGAGTGATCTATGTTGTTAAAATTTATTCGGCCTTAAATTGAACAAAATTAGAAAATTTCGAATTTTTTTTCTACAGTCGAGAAACACCAGTTTGAAATTTTTGGTTTTTTGTCTTAATTTGAGCAAATGAAGCGAGCGAGCAGGCATGCAATAGCTTATTTTAATGGATCAAAAGCTCATAGTAGCTTTATTTAAAACGTAAAAGTTTACATAATCTGTTTGAGGGCATTAATTGTTTTGAACATTGAAAAATGGGGAGGAACTTTGTATTCGGCTGCATTTTAGTTTTATGTTTTCCTAACAAAATCAGGTACCACAAATAATCATCCGAAGCGGTCAAGTGATATATCATATTAAAGCCGGCGATGTATGAAGCGTTGCAGTTAGTTTGGTTTCAGTTAGTAGCGGGTTCATTTTTGCATTGTTCAGCCGAACTTAATGCTCCGAACATTGAAAATGACAAGCAATTTTGTATTAGGGTGTTTTAGTTTTTTCTTTTTATTGTTTTCCACGCAACATCAGCTACCACAAAAAATCATAGATGTAAGTTGAGTGATATATCATATAAAAATTCTTTCAGTTTTAATTTTAACGATTCAAAAGATCCAAAATTTCACAGTGTCGAGAAAAATCGGTTTGAAAATTGTATTTAACTCTAACTGTCAGCGAGTATAGCGGGCGAGCAGGCTTACAATAGCTTTATTTATTAGCTTAAAAGATTACAATAGCTTAATTGAAGCAGTACAAACTTAGTTTTACTCAGTTTGAGTCTTATACTTTTAGATATTTTTGCATCTTTTTGATATCACAAAATTCAAAGTAGATAAAAAATTGCAAAATACAAGGAAAAAGTTTTTGAAAAGTTTTTAAATTTTTTTCTAGCCTTTTTTTCTACAAAATTTGTTTTGCACTTTGCTGAAATTACATTGCCCTCGAATATGCTTAAAATCTAGTTTTTTTATTCACTATGCAGATATTTTTATTACACCATTCAGAAAGAGCGACAAAAAATGGAAAAAAACTGTTATCTTTAAGACAATGGTGCGAACTTTTTTTGCTAATTGCAAAGTAACCGGCTATCACTGTTTTATTATCTATTTAATTGAACAAAATTAGAATTTCCAGTATAAATTAAAAGCTAATAAAATAAACGTGACTTATAATAAAAACTATGTGTAATAACTTATAGCTAATAATAGCTTGTATTATAGAAAAACATTTTTGTCAAAAAAGCACGTTCAAAAGAGTTTTGTAGAAACGTGTAGTTATTTTTATCAAAAAAGTTTACTTTTGTCGATTTAGACAAAACAAATCACGTTCAGTTAAAGAGTTTTTTGACAAGACTATAGGTTTATTTTAATATATCCCGGAGGTGAAAGAAAAACATGCTTTTTGTTATAGTTTTCAAACCAACAAATATGCTTAGCTCATTCCAAGTACTCACTTTTTCATTTATTTTTTCCTTGAGGGGGATTTTAGCTTTTAGCATCATTTTTTCATTTAGAAGATTTGTTTGTTTAATGAGCAAATCAAAATTTTTCAACAAAAAAATTTAAGAAAATTTTCAAGAAATTTTCCTGAAATTTTCAAACACTTTTTTAGGAAGCAAACTTTAACAACTCATTTGTTTTGACGATTTGAGCTTTTGACGTTTTTTTGTTGCAATCTGCTGAAAAAATTTCGTTATAACTCAGATAAGACAAAAATAGTAATTTCAATAAAATAATACAAGCAATTATGGGCAATTGATAACGTACCATGTATTTCGATCTAATTTTGCAAACCCTTTTGCTGAAATATCCTAGGTAACAAAACTCATTTTTCTACTAATTTAATGTCAAAACACCGTGCCGAACCTTTGGTTATCAATTCCTCATTCTCAAAAAATATTGAACCAAATGATTCTGAGTTTTTGTCGAATCTGATTATATCTCTTTTGTCTGTGCTAATCATGAGATTTTTCCCGGATAAAAATAACAAAAAGCACTATGATGTATTTTGTATGTTAAATTTCAAAACAGGCAAATTATTTTTTGCAAAATGTTTTCGCAAAATTAACGTGATTTGAAAATGATTTTTAGATTACGATTAAAATAATTAAAGGTACGCCCTGTTTTGCAGTGGCTCAGGAACATTTTATACCGCCAGTTCTTACAAAATTTTTTGTTCCGATAAAGTATGAGCAAATAGTTCACGAGCTTAAATTGATATACTGTACACTCAAAAAAAAACGAACATTACGTATTTTTGCAAGTTTATCATTTTACACGTGACAAATTAAATGTTCATTTTTTGGAGTGTAGGAATCTAGTTTTTTTATCAGTAAATACATTGAACCATAGTCATTCTTAATCAAGTTGACGAAATATAGCTCTTTTGAAAAGATCACACTATTAATCCTATTCTGCTGCAATCGAGTCGGTCAAATTTTTGTAACTCCTCATCCGAATTAGGCGAAACCTAGGTGTTTAAATGTCAAACCTATTCAAGTATAATCGGGCCTGCAAAACAAAAGACCGTTTACATATGCGATACAGTTTGTATTATTTATGATTATGGCTTTTGCACAATCTCTACCCGTTCCCAGTGAATTTTCTGTGCAAGATCTGAAATTCTTTATTTCTTTCATAAGTTGATTTTCACTTCTGAAATTCTTTATTTCAGATCTAGATAAGAACTTACAAATTTCATATCTGAAATTTGGATCTGAAAAAGAAAATTTCAGATCTGAAACAACCTTGAATAACGAAATTTCAGATCTGAAATTAGATCTGAGAAATCCTTTGTTAAATTATTATTTGTGCATTTCGAGCAAAAAATTGAGTTTTTTGATGGTTGTGCAATACACAATTATGTTTAGAATAACTAGCGGTCAGAAAAAACTAGATTAACTAGCGTTTCCAATGCTTATCTCATGCTTGGTCAAACATACTTCGGCAGTCTCCAACTTGAGATTTTGCTGAGTACCTGCTAGTAGCTAGCAGAATCTAAAAAAAATCAAAAATAGCAAAAATTAAGTCCGAATCTTTGATTTTTTAGATCTGAAATAACCAAGAAAAAGAAAATTTCAGACCTGAAATTAGATCTGAAGTAAACAATCCTTAAAGCATCCAAGCGTTATTTAAACATTTCACAACCTAATTCAGATCTGAAATTTAGATCTGAAAAAGATCATTTCAGATCTGTTTTAGAAAATTTACTAGGTACGGGTAAGACTAATCGATGAAAGAGCGCTTGCAAAAAAATTTTCTCAAGACGATTATTTCATGCTTGCTAACTGTGAAAAAAAAAATTTGAAGTCACTATTGTTTAAAGCATTTTCAAGAGCTTTCGCCTCTACTTGTTTCCTTAGATTTACCCCTGCTCCTTACTAAGATGGAAAGAGAACACCGGGAATAACATGTTTGTCAGTGGTTTAGATTGCATCTCTTATTATAATTTGATTTATTTGTTTATAGACAAGGAATATGTCATTACGACCTAGTACTGAAAAGTTCAGAGGTGAAGTTTGTCCGACCCACGGTTGCCAAGCGAAATTCTTCTGTCAAAGCGGATTGTGCAAAGTAAGCGTCTGCGAAATTTGCTGGAAAAATGATCATAAAGGTCATAACGTCGAGTTGCTGGAACACATTTTGGATCAGTCAACTCAGAAGATATCCAAAGCTTTGGAACTTTCTGAAACAGGCCAAAAACAGATCCTGAAAATTTCAAGTGAAATTGACGACTTGAACAAAGATTTGATTGCTAGTGTGAGGGCATTTACCTCACTTAAGAACGAAAAACAGCAGATACACAATATGTCAACGCTATCACAAGTGCGTAACCTTGAGGAAAACATAAAAAATGAATTGGAGGACATCAAAGCAAAAAACAGTAATATCAAGCAGAAAATTCTGAAAATGGAAACACTTGCAAATTTGTGCGAGGAAGTAAACAAAGACATACAGTCTTCGATTGAGGCGCTGAACGTAACGAATCAATCCACTGCTGAAGGTAAGATTGATAATAATAATCAAAAATATGAAATCCAGCAGAATCACAAAGCCTCATAAAAACTTTGGGCTCTTATCATACTTCCCTTTACCTTTCAAAATTCATATTTTCAGTAGTTGCTCTGCTTTTTATTATGCCTAAAAGCGCGATGTTACGACGCACAAGTTAGAAGAGCAAATCTGTTCACAATTAATAACTGGTTCGCCACGCCAAATTTCATTGCATTGTGTCTGCTGAATTAGTTTTTCAAAAAAGAAATTCCAAAGAGGAGTGGAAACGAGCCCAATTTTTACATCAGCTTAATTGAAGTGAAGTCTAGGGTCAACTAGCAACACGCGGCCTATAAGATCAGCCGCCGACATACATTCACCCTATCACTGCTGATCCTAATGTCTTGGTATTTCAAACAAAAAAATCGATAATTAAAACAACATAGCATCATCATAAAGTATGCTTCCTTTTTAAAATTTTGTCTGTCGGCTTTTTCAAAGGCATTGACTGCTAGTTTGATTTATCTTTTCTGCTCATCGCTTCGAAAAATTGACGATAAGTTTAAAAACTGGCCCTCAAAACTGACACGGTCTTTTTACGCTACCGCATAAAAAGTGCGCCCACCAGTAAGCGTCATCATCTCCATCCCAAAGTCCGTTGCAAGACTACTTCTTTTAAACAATTGTTCATTTCTGAACTTTTGAAATAATTTGACTGATTTTTTAAAATGATTTGACCGAAAAGAGGAAATGGCTGTAATGACTGGGTATTCTTAAAATGTTAGAACAGAATCCATTTAGTCCTTTTGTTGAGTTATATATTTTTTGATTTTCAGATCCTGTCGAGGTTATATACCAGGTGGAAGTTGTAAGCTCTCTACCTATGGGTGTACCAAGTGATGTATTTATAGACGTGACACTGCATGGTGAAATTGGTTCCTTTTTTAAGAAAAAATTGGGCCAAATACGCCACAAGGGCAGTAATTTGTTCCGGCTGGAAACGATTGAACTTGGCAAACTTACTAAATTGGAGTTAGAAGCCTCTTTTCAAAGAAGACGCAGTTTTTGGTTCATTCACAAAGTTTCTGTGACTAATTTACGCAACGGTGAAGTAACTGTGTTTCCGAGTTTCCATACACTCTACAAAAACAAAGACGGCCTTCCAAGCGTAATTGAACTGCAGCCAAAACTACAGTGATTTCACTTTACCGTCCAAACAGATACTAATTATCGAGAACAAACTAAAGTTGGTCCACCAAATTATTTTCTGAAAAACTTAGGAAATTGAAAATCTACTAGATTTACATCATACTTCATATCCAGAACAGCATGAAAAATATGGAAATACATATTAAATCAATTTAAAAAAGGCTAGATAATTACTGAGTAAAGACAAGATGAAAGTTTGTCCCATCTAAGTTATAGCGGAATTTTTTAAGTAAAAAATTGATAGTTTAAATCGACAAATAAACCGGAGAGTAAAAGTTTGCTTCGTCAGAAAAAAAATTCGTCAGATGTCGTGATCTACTTTTAAAAAACAAAACATTTACTGCAAAATTATTCATAACAAATTTTCATCGGGAGGCCAAACTTTGCACTGGATAGGCCCACCATTTGTGTTTGTTGATCAGTGGAATTCAAATTGTTGATCAGCGGATTTCGCAAATATAGTCAGATTCCGCGAAAAAAGTGGAATCCGCATTTTTGCTTATTTTTGCATCAAACCAGTTCTTGCATATAAAACTTTGAAAACTAGAGCTGGAATTATTACCTAGCGAAGTCGGAAAAGCTAGAACTTAACTCTTGTCAACGGAATCCACAAACAAATCCTTATCTTTGGTTAACTAAAATGGTGAAGGTATCTTTTGGTTTTGGGATAAATTTCCCTGCAATTTCTGGAATCATTTGGCAATACAGTAACCAAATAAAATCAATAGGACTAATGGGTTGATAATGTCTGGAAATACAACGCACAACCCACAATGGAATAAGATCAACAGTTGGGATTAATGGGTTGCGATTGATGTCAAATCATCTGTATTTGAAATGAGATGAGTGTGAATTCGAATGTTTCAAGTGATTTCAAATCATAAGTATTTTAGATGAGATGAGAGTGGAATCAATTAGTTTATTGAGCTGAGAGGCTTATTAGGAGTGAAAGGTTTCCCAGTGAGAGATTTATTGGTGGAGAGTTTGTTTTAAGTTGCCTTACTACGACTACCAAAATGATTCGAACAGTTCTGGTTTGTTCTTTCTTGTCTTCTATCTCTTCAAATTTGAAATTTTTGCGATGAGCGTTTGGGGGTCAAAGAATTGGCAAGAATTGAGATCGGACGTTTGAGTTGGCAGAAACTGAAGTGGCTGGATTTAAGTTCTCAGAAATTGGATCGAATGGTAGTGGATAAAACTCCAGTAGTAATTGAGATTTAACACGCTGGTGGCCATGTGGCGAAGAAAAAGTTTTAATTTGAATGTTCCATTTTTTGTTACTGAATTCTGCAAATAAAATGCGGATTTTATTAAAAGTTTGAGGTTTCCGCTTACAATTTGCAGTTTCCGCGTGCAATTGCTGTTACAGAACAGGGAAATTTTTTTATGCACATGTTTTATCAAATTATTGCGGATTCATCAAACTGTTCCGGGTTCTGCAAATATTATTGCTGATCCAAAAATTTGCCTGTCTTTGGAGCGGTCTAGAGCTGTACAGTGTTTTAACTAGTTTTTGACGAACCCAAAACAGCAAAGAAAATCAAAAAAATGTAGCAAAGTTGCGGAATCAGCTTTTAATTCTCAAAATCCACCGTTGGGCCACGTAATATTGTTCGCTAAAGAATTTACATTTTTTGTTAATGAAAACACAAATTCTTCAACTGAAAAAAGTAGGAAAAATCATGCAAAAACGTAAAATGAAGCTGAACAATAGATCAAAAAAGTAAGCACTGGACAGGTTTTTGGAGTTTACTGATCAGACTTTTCAATTGCTTGAATAGGTGCCAAGAACTTGAATGATTTGGCATGTATTCCATAAGCTCCGTTTTAAAATAGAAAGTTTAAATGTTTTTCAAAAAAATAAGAAAGAATTAATCGACTTTTTCAAATTTTCATCTTGTTTTCACCACACTTAATTTAACTGAATTGATTTCTAACTATTTGAATGATTTCTTTTCGAAATTGTTGGCTAGTCAAAACTTAAAAGGATTGCGTTTTGATTGATGAGTTCGCAGCTAAATCTAATGGCATTTTTCAAAAACAAGAAATTTCGTCAAACAAGGGCCACAATTTGGATCGCAAATGCATTAGATCGTTATTTGGAAAAATGGAAAAAGTGACTTGTTTAGAAGTGGGTTAAAAAAGCATTTGTTTACCCATATTGACAGAAAAACCTTTCATTATTATGTGAAATACTTTGAACATAAGAATTTCTAGAGCTCAAACTTTTTTAATCTCTTAATGTTTCCGTTATTTTTTCAATTTAAACCAAGATCGGAAAATTTCGTTTCTTTAACACTAACAGCCTACTTTCTTCTAAATTTTATACAGTTTTCCAAATATTTATTGAGAAATAATTTCCAAATTGAGTAAGTTTCCCATTTAATATACTATCATGTTATTCAGCCTTTCTCTACAATTTATTTTAGTTCATTTTGATTCTAGTCATTGTTCGTCATTTATTTGAAGAACCTACAGTTCTAATTGTATCAATAGTCGTCTTCGTAAATCACACAGACGAACTTCCTCGAATCCGCACAAGGTGTGTCGGCGAATCCCTTAGTTGACCTCTGGAAGTACAAACAGTCTTCTCTGTCTGCCTTGTCTGGATTTACTTCCGGCTCCCCCAGAGACCAGTGGGCAAAATTGTTTGTCAAGTAAGAATGCCTGAAAAGTAATGACATTAGTGAAAGTCATGATACTCGCAAAACTTACCAAGCTAAAATTCTGCTTAATCAATTTGATATCTCGTTGAAACCAAATTATAATTTCACACAGAGGCGAGGTTGCACTTCGCATACACAAGCAAAAATATGACCAATAACGCTACTGGGAAAAACTGAATGAGTAAAAGTTTAAGTCTACAAAATTTTACATGTGACGCACGCCAATTATGAGTCTACATAATTGCTAAGTGACGCAAGCCAATTATGCGCATTAGGAGTACTAGTCAATTTAAAAAAGAAAGAAATTTACCAACTAACATACCTGAATTTATAGAGCGGACGCATTTTAACTTGTACATGAAAAAGTTCATTAAAAAACAAAAAACATCCCACCCTGCCCAGAATCGAACCCTCTTATTTTGCTGCTGATCTATTTCCCTACCACTACGCTACAGATCCATGATGCCTTGAAGCTAAAGTGCTATTTGTTAATTAATAGTCCGTGTTAACATCCTTAGCATTTACTGTTATTAATAACTGGATCAAAATGAACACTTTCAAAGTGAACAACTTTTGTCGCAACAATTGCATCGCAACAATATTTGCGACTTAGGTTCGAAAAGAAAAAAATTCATACTATAACACAAGCTATGCTTGTGTAATTATATTCTAATTCTAAAGTTTTGAATTAATTCTTGTTGAAACTGCCAGTCAATGCTTCAAAAAGTTTCTTTTTTGTAGTGGCCAGTGAAACCTAATGCTATAGCTCAAAAAGGTTAACCTAAGGTCATGGTAAGAATCTCTAATGCATTGGTTCAATAATTGGAAAATCGGTTCGCAGTGATATATTTAGAGATTATTGATGCTTTTTCCATCCGCTTGACAGATGAAGCTTTCGTAATTTCGTGGAATAGCCGTAGAAATCAATTTACCCGGGTTGACCAAAAATGCTAGTCATACAATTTTCATATATGGAAAAATGCTAATCATAAACTTTTCATGCAATTCCATAAGTACAGAAAATTGAATGAAAGGTCTATGATTAGTATTTTTTCATTTATGGAAATTGTATGACTAGCGTTTTTCCATAAACCAAAAGTGTTGATTTTTTACATTTTAATTTCTCAAAAATTTTTGGTTGTGTTCGTAACCGAACACAAATGACATAAACCTTGGTTACTCAAACGTAGTAGCCAAAGGTTTGGCCGTCTCGCATCAAAATGCATTGGAAACAGCCTGATATGTTTTAATTATGTCTCACACAAATAATATAACAAAAGTAACAAATTTTTCAATTTTGGCAAAAATTTCCAAAGATGATTATTTCTGAAATTTGAATTTTTAAATTACCAGATATTGATCAAGGCATAGCAAAACATGTCATTCAAACGTTTTAAGCGTTTTTGAAAAAAGGAAAAAATCCAATATTAGTATATCCAGGACTACGTTATAGACACAAAAAAATAAAATTGTTTGCTTGAGTACCAAAATCAATTTGCGGTTGGAAAAAAAACACAAAAAAATCTTTTTGGGGGCAGTTTCGAAAATACTTTGAAAAATTTTTGTCGTCGCCATCAAAAAAATGCTAGTCAAACATTTTCCATATATGGAAATTGTATGATTAGCATTTTTTTTTTGACAAAATTTTTTTTTATGTAGTACGATACACCGAATTTTATGCCAAAACAAGAAAAAATTTTTTTGAAAATTCATCGACACCATTTTAGCAAAATTTATGAAATTTGTATGACTAGTATTTTTTCATAGACTTAGTTTTTGGTCTATGGAGGTCAACCCGGGTACCTAGGAAAAATATGAATTTTTCAAGAACTTACTCTGAGCATGGAAAGTTCTAACAACACTCATAAATCTTTTTAGCTCAGATATTTTTTTCGTTTCTTGTAAACCAAAAGGTTTAATTGCTTTCATCCGAGTTTTTCAAGACGTATTCGTAAAAAGATAATTGAGATGTAATTTTCAAAACTGACTTAACTTCCGATTCACTGTTCTATTAAGTGATTCAGTCTTCTTGTTGAAAAATATTTTAGTTTCTTGTTTTCCAGTAGCGTGCCGAGGGGGGGCCTTTGGCACTAATATGACTAATTTTGAGGAGGCAGTCAAAATTTTCCAAAGTGCTTTTTTTGGCCGATTTTAAAAAAATTTTGCCTACGGCAAAGAATATTTTTCACAAAACCAAACTGGTCAACCTAAAAAAAGGCCGGCAAATTTTCAAAATTTTTCGAAAAACCGCCCCTCCTCCATTGAAAAATTTCTGCGGACGCCATTTGTTTTCAAAGACAATTTCTGTTAACCATGCAGAAGTATGCAGAGTGAGTGCAATTTGGCAACTCTGGTTGCTAATATTTCCAAAGGGTCCTATTAAGAGTACTATTTTACGGCAACCGTTTCTGGCTGACCGAATAGAAAAGCAATTCCAGCGCCTAGAGCGTCAATATTTACAAACTTGAGTGGGAACGCCCGCCGCATGGCCTAAAATGTCACTTTTGGCTTGTTTTTGTTAAAAAATTGACTGCGGCGCACAACATTTTCTTGTTAAATATGGTTAATCTAGTGTTTCGGCTGAACTGAAAATACTTCGAATTAGCTGGCCTAAGAAAGTAAATATTATTTCAAACAGCATCTTTGAAGAATTCCCGTGCACACTTCTAATCTGCAATGAAATTTGGGTGACGTCCCATTTGTTGTACCAACGGTCATTTGTACCAAAATAATTCAACTCGATTTCTGATTGGTCGAATTGTGAGCCAACGAATTATTACATTAATTTCCTACTGTTCAAACAGAAGAAAACTAAACAGCAGAATAGTGACCGCCGCAGTCGCGCCAACGTGTTGCGAGCTTGCCAACAGAGGGTAGGACTCTATACAAAAATTAGAGCCGGTTATCGCCGCGAAGCGGCGACGCGCGCATAGCGCGCCCACCGGCGACCTTAAACCAAGAGCTTAAAGTAGTCGGCTTAATAGTCTTAGGCCAATTGAACATTTTTGGTACTAACGCGATTGATTTTTTATTTTGGTACAAATGGGACTGATTTATCATTTTGGTACTCGTGAATACCCACCGAAATTTGGCATTGCGAACAAACAGATCATTATGAACACAATTCTTTGTAATACCTTATGTTGTAACGTTTCAATTTAGAAAGACGTCTATTGAGGAAAATAGAACAAATTACTCGTGCCAGGTGTCACCATGTGAGAAACAGAAGTCAAGTTTATGCACCGCCAAACTGAACCAATTTAATTCTTGATAGAACGCAGCCAAGAAAAATGCATGGGTCTTATGCGTTAAACGGCCCAAAAATCAAAATTGAAGCAAAATGAAAACTAAAACTGAAATTGATCCTGATTGGCTAATATTAGCCAATCAAATTCGAGCAACTAGGTCAGTCATTTCGATTGAGATGAATCCTGATTGGCTCGTATAATATGTAATAACTGAAGTAATTGTATGTTGATTACGTGTTTTCAATTTGAAATAAAATTTCGGGGGCGTTAGACAGTGCCGAAGTTAGAGAGTGCCGAAAAAGGCGGGAAATATTGGAACGCAATTTAAGAGGCTAGCTTTTGGCGGGAAAATTAATAATGACACTTGAAACTTGTTCAGACTCAATTTTGGCGCCAAAATCGATGAGCAAACAAAACTTTCTTTTCTTTTGTTTTCGGCACCCTCGCTTGGGTGATAGAATGCTACTAAGTTCTTTAATTCCTGAAACACGGAGTGCGGCCAGTATTTAGACAGCCGCGTATTCATACTGGTCAGTATTTAGACAAATACTGTTTCAACCAATCAGAATCGAGAAAAAACATAAATAATCCAAAATAAATAATAATTATTTGTTAATTTCTTCTTTGTCTCGATTCTGATTGGTTGAAACAGTATTTGTCTAAATACTGACCAGTATGAATACGCGGCTGTCTAAATACTGACATGTAACCCTGAAACACAGACCATTAGACACAACTAGCACTCGTATCGGATTCAAGTGAGCGGAGCGAAGCGGAGCGAACGTATGGACCTTGCCAAATATTAGCGGGCCATGCCTCGCTGAAAACACTAATTACACCCACCTCGGCACTCAATTTTCATTTTCCGCACTCTTTAACAAATTTTCATTTTCGGCACTCTTTAACAAATTTTTGTTTTCGGCACTCTCTTACTTCGGCACTGTCTTACCCAACCAAAATTTCTGACTACTTTCCGAATTTTGGGCCGTCTAACGCATAAGACCCAAATGCATTAGCTTTTTAGCGACTCATTGTGTGTTATATGAAAAGAAGTGGTGTAACGCCGCTGTAATGTTTCTACATGGCCCATCAACGTGTTTGAGATCGAACCAATAACTCTAACGAATAGTACACACATTTCTCATATAAAGTTTATTGGATATTTGGTGCATATACAATCCGATGCAGCGATCATAAAAAACCTGATAAAAGACAAAGATAATTTTTGTTTCCAAAAGAAAATACGATACCCTGGTGGGTGCATATAGGCCCTGTATATTCCTTCCCGCTTCTCATCTGTCCACGCAGTCCAGAAATCCAGCAGAGAATCCGGCGCCAGCTCACTGGAACGCGAAAGCAACAAATTATCAAGCGACTTTCGGCGATTGTTTCCTTGAGCAACTTTTGCTGATCTGATCAGATTCAAAGCTGATATAAATCTGAGCTAAGTTACTGATTTAAAAAAAGTTTCAAAAAATGCTAAGTTGGAGTATTTGCAATTTCGGTGTCCCGTGAAAATTCAGGATACCGAATATACGACAGCTTTTTCGTCTTTTTTAGTTATTTTTTATACACATCTTAAAAGACCTTGTGTTTGCGAACAATTTTGATTCACAGTTTTTTATTGAGCTAGCCTATTTCGCATGAATTTTTCTACAACGTTTGCATCATTATTCTGATTTTCGAAAAATTGACGGATTATTTGTGCTCGGTGTGAATTTTTCTCCAGAGAAACTTCGACTTCTAACTAGCCACTCTTGACTTTTTTAACCATCAGAAAACTAGTCAATCTCTAAGCTCAAAATTAAGAAAAATATTTTATCTGCGACCACTTTTGCAAAAAAAGAAGGTTTGATAATAACCAATTTGAAAAAGTTAACGCGTGATATACTTCGTCCTATTAAAGCGTAAGCTATAAATCAGATCATTCCGAATTGAATTTAATCAAGCCATTTGTTTCCAATAAAGCAGTACCATATGCACTGAATATCTTTATTTATTTTACGTAGCGTCTTTGGGAATTAAAAAAGGGTAAATGGGGGCGATTTTTTGTTTTCTAATTGATTCATTAATTTTTGGCTCTTCTCCGGTTTTCTACCTCACTTGTAAAATTACAACATAAATTCGTTAAAAAATTTTTTTAAACGGCAAATGGCATGCAAGAAATGTAGTAAAAAATTATTCAATTCATGCTGACGCCTTTAATATTGAAGTTAAGAACATCAAAAGTCATTTTAATAGGTTTCTGTAACCCGTCTTTCAAAAAAGTAAAGGCGACTGGAAAAGAGCCCAATTTTTCTAACCAAAACTTTTTAAATGACGTAAGCAGTTGTCAAAATGCTCAACGCTTTGCCCTGATGCGAGCATTTTTTTGTATTTGAAGGGCGATTTTGCTTCCCATTTGCAAATGAACTCGAAAAGTTGTTGCGAAGAAAATCAAGAAGTCAAATCAATGAAATAAAAAATTAAGCGTATCTAAATTTTATGACTCTCTGAGAACAAGCAACAACACTACCTACTAAAGTTCATTGGGTTCTCCAGACTTTAAAAGAAGGAAATCTCAGAAATTTTGCATATGCTTCTAAAAGCTCCTGTGAAAGACTAGCTTTTTGGGTTTGAATAGGAACTCAGCTGTGTTCGGAGAAATCAATTTTTAAAAAATGTTGTAATGTTAACCAATTTTGGCTATCATTGTTTTTTAACCCGATCTAATTCAATTTTGTTCACCATATTTTCAATTTTTGTTCGGGTATCCTAATAATAGCTGCAAACAGGGCTGCTTGTATATCAGGACGAAGCCATGAGTTTTGCGACTGCAGCTCAAGGTCTAACGAGTGAGTCATCATACCGTATTAAGTTTTTCTTGATTTTTGGAAAAACTTCATTCATACGCTCTGTGAAAAACACAGTCATGTCATTCGAGACTAACAACATAATATTAGTTCCAAATAGCTTGCCTAGAACTAAAAAAAATTCTGAGCCGGATTAAATGAACAGTTGCGCTTTAATACAACAAACCATGTTGTTGTTGTCCCAATTGAGCATATGTGGCACTTTTTAAACCGCTATCTAAAATAATCACAGATAGAATAATTTTTCGGGTTTCAGCTAAGACATCAATACCTTTCAGATGGTATCAAAAAAGCAATTCAAAAAATTGGAGCCTGTCTGAAGAAAAAAAAACAGCACCGAGCACAAATAATCCAACCTTCGTTCGAATATTGGAACAAAATGCCAAACGCACGTTCGCTTAATTAATTCACATATTATCGATTATTATGAATTTTGTTGGGGAGCTGTAATGGAAATTCTTTTGCAGAAAATCCAAAAAATAGGACGACATGAAACTGGAACCATGTTGTTCAAATGGAAATTAGACGACTCTCGAAAATGCAACTATGAGAATTTAGACAAAAATGAGCGGTCGTCGGTTGTGAAATTGGTTACAGACTACATTTAGCTTTCGGTTGGTTTCACTAATGCAACTCATTTTAGAGCATGTCACAGCTGAAAACATTTTTATAGGTAGTCTTAGAATTTGGATAAGTTTGATCTGTTTCGAAGTTATTTTCATTTTTTGTGTTAGTATGACTTCTTGTTAGTAATACATCAATTTGTATCAAAAAATTGTCGTCTAAACTACGTTTTTTTTACAGACATCGTCTAAAGTTTTTTTTCGTCCATTTGTAACATATGGAAACGATTAGTGGTATATAATTCAGCCGAGGTAGAAACCAGCGAAAGTATAAGCCAGGAAAAAATGCGTAACTGTTAAATAATAGTTAAGTAACAGTTAATTTAACAGTTCCGAAAGTCACGCAAACTTCATTAATATATCGTAACTTTTCGGTTGGCTAAATTTTCTTGCGCATTTTTGGTTGCTATATACTGTGGCTGGTTTGCTTACGCTCAAAGGACTAAAATATTATCCTAACAGCTGTTTTCGCAGAAACTTACTGTATAGGTTAAAATTTGATAGAATCTGGTTTTAACGAAAGATAGTCAACAGACAGTTGGAAAAGAGGCAAGGATAAAATGAACGCAAGAAAACAGAAAAAAGAAACGGACTTATTTTTGAAAAGTCTTCAACTATCGAGTTTCAAAGTAAAAAACACATGGCCTTAACCTGCTCTGATTTTCTAGACTATTTTATAATTGACACTTTTTTGATGAAAGTAACTCAATTTGAGAAAACTGGATCAATAGGTAAAGTTCTCATTCAGCTGAGAAATCTAAAAATTAAAATTCACACTTTTGAAACTAGAAGTTGTTCACGTTTTTTTGCTTCATTTCCACGTTCGTATTTGGAGAGTACAATTTACCCGACTTTCGGTAAATACATTTAAAATGAGCTCAAAAAAGCCTATGTACCTAAGTGCATTCATATTCATAAATGCATGAATATGTATGAATGCACATCTGTAGTTATTAGAGCGTTTCAAAACTTTTTCCTGAAAACAAAACGCAAAAAAAGTCACCAAGACCGTTATGAAAATCTTCAATATGTTCATTGACTCTTAAAAAAGTTTTAAGAGATAGTCTCAGCAAAATGTATTTAAACACTAACAGTATGCACTGAATTTCCTTGTCTTCGTCGGGAGCGGCCAGAACGCCTCCAAACTCCTTGCACGATTTCTAAGCACCAGATCAAACAGAATTATTACTTTTAAAATAAAATGCCCGGCAGAAGAACCACGAATACCACACAAATGTGTCTAATTTAATTATACGCCAAATCAGATGCTGATCTACGTTTTTAAGTTGCGACACTTTTCTTAAGCTTTCTGGACACCAGATGTTCTATTAACAATTGCTTTTTTATGCTTTCTCTGTCGAAAATACAATTCGTCGAAATTGCCGGTCCAAAACTCATAAAACTATAACGAACTTTTTGATAAAAAACTTGATTGGACTACATGTTGACACTATTGCATGGGTTTATCTCGGGTTACATAATAGGCCCATTTTGATTTTTTGCTTAACATCCGGCAGTTTTAGTGCATCTTTTGTTGACTAAGAGGACCAAATGCGCCAAGGACCGAATGCGCTAAATACTTGTCAGCCAATCAGAATCGATTATTCATAAATTCTAAGGAAATAAGCGATACAATCAGTCAGTTTTGAGCGGTTCAAATGGGATTGATTGATTGATAATTTTAGCGCATTCGGTTTTTTGCTCATGAGAATACCCCTCTACCCCCTTATTGACAAGTTCTTCCCTATTTGCAAACAATTGGGTTGTTCGTTGTTATAGAGGTCCGTAAAAACTTTTCTTTCTCACCCTGGCCGATGTTACAGTGACTGGCGTGTTGCCAAAGTGCATGTATTCTGCATACCAGCTGCAGTTCTGGTCCACTCTGGTCCACAGACGTTCACTGGGCGGACACTTCCCGTTGTCACGCATATCCTGTTTCAAAAATACAGTGCAAATTATTACCATATAGTTAATTTCTTTATCAGTCACACTCTAAAAATTAAATTAAGTTTGGCACGACTGTTTTTTCATGTTAAAATGAGTAAAAATAAGTTTCGAAACTAAAGTAAGCGGTTTTAGATCACAGTTTTGCTCAGATTTGACCACTTTCAATGGTTATTGTCAACAACAAACTGATGATAAAAAACTTAAACATACCCAAAGCTTTTTTTTCGGCTCAATGTGTGTCTTCTCAAGAATTGTCGGCTATGTACCGCTTTTTAAATTTTCAATGGTTGTGTTTCGATGGATGCTTCTTTACCATATAATCAGTTTGCTTGTCATCTTTTTTTAATAACAAGATACGTTGTTCAAAACAAAATCAAGACCAAAATATTAAAATTTTGGTAGATTACTTTTTTCGATTGTAAACAGAGAATGTATTTCTTTTCAGCGGTTTCCGCCTCTATTTCTGTCAGTTAGTTTTTTATACTAAGTTTTCTCAAATGCAAGTGATTTGGACTTTTGTTTTGTCTCTGGGCTGAAATATCCGGTCAGTACAAACTGAAAGTGACGCGTTTAAAAATAAAATATTTCAATTTTTCAATTTCAGCAGAGGATTTTGGCGGCAATAATCGTTTAGGGGCGACAAACAAATTGAGCAAAATAGTCATCTAAAACTGCTCCTTTTGATTTCGAAACCTGTTTTGACTAATTTTAACACTTAAAGAAAACAGCGATGTTCTAGATGCATTTTCTTGATTCGGGCGGTTCAAGTCGGATATAATCTCGAAAATTTTTCTGAGGATTTTCAGGATAACCCCATCGACAAGTTTTATAGTTCTTAACTTAATGTTAGTGGTTTTGAATTGTACAAGCGTATCAATACTTACTTGTTTTTGTATTATTTTCCCAAAGGACCAAAAACAGCATTTATGCACAATTTCTCTACAAATTGTCTTTAAGAAGAATTTAAGAAGAAATCTTTTTTTCAATTAAGAAGAAAAATTTAGATAAACCGTAGTTGAAAAAACTATTTTAACTTAAGTTGCACTATGCAAATCAAACAAGCTCATTTGTAACTAAGGATTTTGCATTTTCCAGTAGAGATAAAATTCGAAAACCATTTCCGCTATCGGGTTTATCCAGTAGCGGATTTAGGTGGGAGAAGATGGCCGAAGTTTTCAGAAGCGTCTTCGGCACCAGTAAATTTTATTTTTGAAGGCGGAGCGCGCTCCAAGAGAAAACACAATTTCCAGTCAAAACTGTCCAAAAATTGCCTAAAACGGGTTGACCTAATTGGTCAAAACAGTCTTTTTAGTGATTTGGAAGAGCTCGCAAAATCAATTTGGTCGACATAAAATAAAACCACTTTTTTTTTGAAAATTGCCCCTCAATAAAAATCTAGAACCGTTTATCTCCAGTTCCGGTACCAATGATGAATCATTTCAGCCCTCCAATCGAGTAAAAACAATGTGTAGTCCCAGCATATTTTTCTGTATTCCGGCGAACTCGTGCTTGTCAGGCTGCTCAAATCGGTCAGAGAAAAAAAGTGACCTACCAATGGAGGGAGAGAGACTCTGAATTTTTCTTAAGAGAGAGACTCTGAAAATGGTAGGCTAGCGTTTTCAGAGTCTCTCTCTCTTAAAAATATAAAAACAAGTGACTGTTCAGAACATTTTACTTATCATACTTGCAGATATAGCATCGGCATGTTCAACAACAGCTGTTTTCTCTAGTTCCAGTTCAGCTATCTTTTTCTGGAGCTCTTCGACAAGCTTTTCAGGTGTACTAGCAAAGCAAATACACCTCAGAAAGCGATCCCACTTTGATTTGCTTGAACAGTTCAATAAGCGAAAAAGACCCAAACACAACCGCTAATGTGGCAACTTGTCTTTCATCTTCACAACATCTAAATTTTAACTCAAAGTTAACATTTCAAGGTTGGAATAAAATGTTCCGTTGTTGCTCAATGACTCCAGTTTATCCTGTAACACGTAAATTGTTTGCGTTATCGGAGACCCAAAAAATTTCTGGTATCTTCGAAGAAGTACTTTCAGCTGCACTTCATTGCATTTACCCCAGTCAGTTTGAATTTTGTCATCATCGTCATCTGAAATAGTATGCAAATACTTCACTTATTCCTGATTTGTCCTTGAAAATGTCAAGTTTTCTCCAAACCGTTGTAAGAAGACTCGTCTAGGTGTATGGCAAACCGCTTACCCCAAAACTTTTTGGTGATCTCGGATTTTATGAATGGAACAAGGCCATGCACAAGCATATACGTTGCTTTGTTAGGCCCAAAAGCCAGCTTTGTGTGACCTGAGTCCAGAAAATTTTGTGAATACATATCTCTCCACGACTGAAACTGTCGCTCGTCCGGAATGGACAACCAAGTAAAATTAATTTTAGCACGTGCAGAGCTACAGCTTTATTTGCAATAGCGTTCTCGTCAACCTGGTCGTTTACCAGCTGCTTTATAGTCGGATGGTCTTATGGTCTTTTTTAGCTTGCTCAGTTTTGACGCGCAGTGGTCTTATGCATGACCGATAGAAGCTTGCCTTCCTTTTGCTACCGACAACTCGCAAAAACAGAAGCGGCATCGAGTCGAATCGTTTTTAACGGGAAGCGCCCAAATGAACTCTTGTTGAAATTTCTGATTGAACGTGCAACGTCCCATGATCTTATCTGGAAAAATTCTCGATAGATACTAGGATTTCTTTGATACGCACAACAGTTTCAACAAAAATAACCTAGAAAAATTAAGTGACCAATAAGAGACTGAAAGTGACCAGGTTACTTAAAATAATCAGTTTGAGCAGCCTGGTGCCTGTGTATGCTACTGCCATATTGAAACGAGGCGTTTTGATCCTTCTCGGTAAACCCAGTCATTTCACAAGCTTGAGTGACGACAAAACATGCTGAACAATTGATTAGAGAGTGCAAATACAAATTCATAAGAATTGCACTTTGCAGAAGGTGATCATGATCAATAATTTGAAAAATAAAGTTTAATGGAAGTGGACACAGTAAATAAACCTGAAATTGGGCAGGCTGTAGAATAAACAAAATTTGCGATGTATGTACCCTCCAAGTCTCTTTTCATACTCGTGCTTTTTTATAAACAGCTATTGTTTGTAATGAAAAAATTGCTGAATTCGGAATGATAAGGATGGAGAATAATTTTTCCTTTTTTCTTTCAAAATGGTTTTTATGTACCTGCTCATCCGCGCAGCTGCATGAGTAGACTCCAAACTGTTCATTGGAGCACACTTGGTCGAATGCACAGAGCGGATAGTGGATATTGTTCACGAGACAGTAACCCTTTCCACGCTCATTCAAGGTCTGGCTCAGGGAACTGCAAACGATTACATTTTCTCAATGAGAATAATTCAAACACCCTAGCGAAAGATAAATTTGACAAACCTTTGCAATTAGCTCGGAAAAAATCTGGCAGGCAGTTGATTTGCAGACAAGAGCTTTGAATTTACATAAATATTTCAGAAATATAGCGAAACACGACGGTAGATTAAACACAAAATACTTCCTATTATTGAAACAAGTTTGTTTTAAACTTTGACATTTGCACTTGTGTTATCCAGGACATACTTTATTTTGAAAAGAGACAAATACAGGAAAAAACAATTTCGCCAAAAACTATCAGTTCGAAAAAAAATTCTTTTAACTCTACCGTTCGACATCTTTGGCTTCGATTAACTATTTCAGAGGCGCTTGAAATGGGCTGCAAAGTTCCACGGCGTTCTCGCAATGAGATTTCATTTGGTTGCAAATGTAGTAAATTGTACAGTGAATGGAACCTACATTGCAAACAATTTATTGTTCCGACTTTCGATACGAAAGTAACGGAATACTTGTGCTCGGGGTGTGTTTTTTTCTTCAGACAAGTTTCGACTTTTTAACTAGCCATTTTTGACGGCATTTGTTAAATCATTCGAAAGGTTTTGTTGTCCTGAGCTAAAATTTGAAAAGATATTTCACCTGTGATCATTTTTCGTAAAGTTACGGGGGTTTAAAGATTGTCATTTTGGCCAATTTGGTACAATTAACGCTCGATTTATTTCGCGCTATTAACGCGTAAGCGGAGATTTAATTCGTGTTAGAAATCGTTCCAAATTGGTTGAAAATAGCCTGTTTGCCATAATTGATTTGTTACAAGGAGCAAAATCTATCCTTTTGTACTTTATATGGCCTGTGGGGGGATGATTTTCATAAAAAATTTCAAATTTTAGAAAAAAAATGTTCTTCTAAAATTTGAAATTCATTTTGTTTTATTTAATTTAATTTTTTAATGTTATCACTGTTCCAAAAACCTTAAATGGCAATCGGAACATTTAGGATTTCGCCCTGATACGAGCAGTCTTGTTAGTATTATTATAACTATTTGATTTATATTTCCCCACACACTCGAAAGCTGCGCTCCCGGTAGAAGAAATCAAGCAAAAAAGGAGAACAAGCTGATACTTCGTGGCAGATGACTATAGAGACAAAAAAGACGAGCATTTATACTTTTTTCGCTGATAACTCAACTGCACATACGCTCCCATGAGCAATGACTATTCAATATTGGTGTTACAATAATGATATAGAAACACATTTATAATGACTTTGGCAAGTTTCAAACAATTTTGGAAGTTTTTAAGTTCGGTGAATTTTTCTAGAAATTTCCTTCTTTTACATGATGTTATCAGAATTATCATCTTAAATTGAACACTTTCAGTTTGAAAACTTAATTTCCTGACCAATTTAGGACAAGTTTTTTGAAAACCATTTTTTTTTCATCCGCAATCAGATTTGAGTTTTGCCAACTTCGTCTGCTCATTTATCTGTCTGTTAAGGTGGTTGTATACTGACTCGCCCGACATCATCTTTGAGACAATCAAAATTGGCAACACAAGGTAGTAAGTTAGATATCGTTAGATATCTACAAGTTTCAAACAGTGGCGAAGCGGAACAAGGACAAAACAAGGAAGCGGATACGTAAAAAAAATTCAAAAACTCGAAAATGTCAAAAAAACTAGATCTAGCGAAATGAATTAGCTTACTTTTGAAACAAAAACGTGCCAAGACGATTGAGGATAAAATTAGCCAAAAAAATTAATAAGACGGTAACAAAACCGAAAATACCTTAGCACAAGCCATTTAAACCAAAAAAATCAAAACGGTAACAAAGCCAAAAACACACACACAAACTTTATCCGCGGGTCAAATGAAACAAAATAATGCCACTAAACTGATAAGGTATTGGCTGAAACCTATTAAGCTGAAAAAATGAATTAAAAAAAGCCGAAAAATCAAAAAAAAAAATTAGGGCTGGTAAAAAAATAGTAAATCCCCCTCACCATCAAACACACGCACAAAAACAACTTTTTTTCCTGTAAAACGGCGCAAAATGAGGCCACTATGCCGAAAAAATATAGGGCAAAACCAATCAAATCGGTAGAAAATAACTTTAAGAAAGCCGAAAAAGACTAGTAAGAATTTATCAAGTTTTCCTCACCCTGGAAAAACATACGCAAAAAATTGCCCGTGGAACGACAACGCAAAATGAGGCTATTAAGCCAATGTAAGACACGCTGAAGCCTGAAAAACCAAAAAAAAAACGAAATTTAATTAAATCGAGTTGGTAAAATTAAAACCAACATAAAAAGATAACTTTGTATAGGACAGATAATGTAAATGCTAGCATGCAGAAAAAATTAATTTGTAGCGGTAAAGATGAAAAGAGAGAGTCCTCTGCCCAACATTATTTATGGGTAAAAAGTATAGTACCCGATTGCAATACCCTTGCTTATCTCAAGGGTAATAAGTAAGAAAAAAACTTGTTGATTCTCGGACAAATGAAATTGAGGGAAGCTTATCCTTTTTTCTGCTTTTAACTTTTCCACGCAAAAAAGTTACCTCTAAAAAAACTACAGTAGTTCTTGTTATATCAATTTACAATTTTCAGTCGTGATTTGATCGACTTTTAAAAACCGGTTGAACTTTTTGGTTTTTAGTCTAATTTTGAGCAAGTAACGCCAGTAAAAAGGTGCCATTAATACTTTTGCTTAAGCCGTGAAAAACAAACTTTCACACCAGGACAAGTAATGTTGCAGCTTGAGTTAAAGTTTCCTTGGCAAAAAAAGGTAAAAACGCAAAAAAAAACAAAAAAAAACTGCCGCAATTAAATAAGTCAACCGCACGGGTTGAACGTCATAGATAAGTGCAAGAAATTGCTTCTAAATCAACCAGCACAATAACAACGTTCAAATTTTTAAAAAATGATCACAAAATAAGTGCTTTTTTATTGGAATTGAAGCTAAGCGTGACGAAAGTTTCGAAAAATTTCCAAAGTCGTCATAAGCTAAAATTTTGATTTTTTTTAACAAAAGCTGCCAGTAATTTCTATTTAGAATAGAAGAAAAAACAAACTAGCAATCTCAATTGTCTAATAAAACGCAAAAACCAAAATTTCCCAAACTTCATTCTGGGAATCAGATTCACACAACGACTCCCAGTTCGATTTTATAACCAAGCAGAAAAACAGGCCATTAAGTTTAGAAATTCACTACCAATAATTTCAGTTAAACACGCGCTTTACAAAGAAATCTAATTTGAAATGATGCCTACACTTCTTGTCCCTGAATTTCGAAAACAAACGTTGTTGCATCTCAACCTGATTAAAACTGCTATGTTTAACTCCAAATTCCACTGAAAATTTGCAGAATCAAAAGATTAGTGGTGGAATTCGATTCAACGAACAAAACGTAGCTAGCGATCGAGTTCTCACAGAGAGGCGAACTTTCACTTTGCATACCCAAGCAAAATTATGACCGATAACGCTACTGGTAACAACTGAATAAGTAGAACTTTGAATCTAAAAAATTTCATAAGCGACGCACGCCAATTATGAGTCTGCATAGTTGCTAAGTGACGTAAGCCATTTATGCGCATTAGCAAAACCAGTCAATTTAAAAAAGAAAGAAATTTACCAACTAACATGCCTGAATTTATAGAGCGGACACATTTTAACTAGTATACGAAAAAATTCATTAAAAACATCCGACCCTGCCCAGGTACGAACCCCTTAATTTGCTGCTGATCTCCTAGTGTACCTCTATGCTACAGATCCATGATACCTAGAAGCTAAAATGCTATTTGTAATATAATAGTAAATGTTCTTACCATTGGCTGTACTTGATAGCTGGATCAAAATGAACACTTTCAAAATGAACACATTTTGTCACAACAATTGCATCGCAAGAAAATTTGCGACTGAGGTCAGAAAAAAATCATACCATAACATAAGCTATCAAAAACCCGCATTGTCTGTGTAATCCAAAGATTTTTTCGCCAACCGAAAGTTGATATTTCACCGTTTTAATGGGTGATATGTTACAATAGGTTGCAGGTTCAAAATAAATATCAGTATCGTTGCTGTTGTACTTCGAACACTATTTATAGTTTTTTTTTCAAAGCCAAATTATTTTGCAAAAGAAGTGTAAAAGTTGAAATTTGAATGAAATTTTATCTGGCAGAGTAATTTATCAACAAAAACTATCTTAGTAGAATGAACAATTGAGTAAAAGTGAAAGACTATATTATGCATTATAGTTTTCAAATTTAATACATGTACTATTCTCAAAATTACCACTTATTGTAATATATCACCGCTTAATGATATACTTTTTTTTATTTCCTGTACATTTTTGACTTCAACACATTTTCGGAATAGTTTGAAACTCGGTTCTAAGTTTGAGGGATTCAGGGACAATGTCTTCGAAAACCAAATCACTACCAAATTTCCCGAGCTTAGCGCAGTAACGCAGAAATTTTAACATGACAGCATAACGAATGAAAAATTACCTTCAATTCAGTAACTACATATTGCGCTGTCAGAAAAATTAACACAAACACGATAGAATTTAGCAATATTTGTTAAATAAAAAATTTTCCGAAAATGTGTATCGTAAAACATGCGTCTGATTGTATGCGTATTTCTCAAGTAAGAATCTGCTGGGAACAAATTTGGCGCAGAAAATAGAGGTATTCATATATCTCTAACGAGCTTTTTACTCAAAAATCAAAATCCACGCCTTCGAAGAACTATTCATAAGTTTATTCATAAGCTAACCGGATCTTGTTAACTATCCCCCCCCCCTATGCATTTATTATTTTTTCTGTATAAAATATGCATTTCAAAAATGCCAACAATGAGGTGGGTTTTCATTTTAGCGCGTTCGTATTTGTATTACTCATTATTTATATAAAACCCACGTAAAAATTTTTATCAATCTATATTTTCTGAAAATTGTTTTAAGCTATTGAAAATGTGGCCGCCAAAGTTGAATTTATGGAAAACTAAATGGGGGGGGGGGGGGGGGAACAGTTAACAAGATCCAGCAAACCTTATCACAGGTGATTGGAACTGAAATTAATGCCCTTTACTTAGCTAACTGAACACATCGATATACCGTTGGAAGTGTCAATGAACGCACAGCAACCAAAAAAAAAAGCTAACTTGTTTTTTGAAATTCTTCAACGATCAGATTTCAAAATGTCCTGAAAAGTATTTGACAATGAAGAACTATGTGATACACTTTTTTTATAAAATCAACCCAAACTGAGAAAACTAAATCAATAGCTGAGTTTTTTTATTTCGCTGATACCTCTGAAAACTCAAGTCCCCTGTCGAAACTAGATGTCGTTCACGTTTTTTACCGCCATTTCCACTTTCGTTATTAGAATGCGTAATTTGCCTTTCTTTTACCAAATGAATTAATTCAAGTTTTGATCAATAATTACTTCAAAAGTCAAACCGCAAAAGATCAAAATTGGCATCATTGACTCTTCTTTAAAAAAATCATAGCTTAACGTTCATTGAACACTAGAATACTTACTCGCAGGCATCACTCGTGAACGAGTACACTTTACACGCATTCGTGATCCCCACATCTTCTGTCGAGTTCATCATCGGCTGAATGAACTCAGGCATCAGATCTATGCCACAGAAATGCGATTCCTTGCAATACACAACACTAGTTGCTTGGAACTTGCCAGCCTCCAGTAAGCAGATTCGTTCCGACAAGCCGAAAAGCTTAGATGCGACGTATTTTGTAGCAACTGTTTGGTAAATTTTGAAATCACAGGAATAATAATTAACGGTATCTTCCGTAGCGCAAATTTCGCTTGCCACAGCAACCCAACAATTCAGAAAAACTATCAAAAATTTCAGCATTTTTGCGAAATAATACTGAACGGTTTCCAGTTGAGAATTTTCCGATAAAATATTTAAATGACGAAACCGGAAATCCGAAATGTTCAATTTAATGGTAGCTTTTAAGATACCTGCTTGCCGCAAAAAAAACTGGCAAAGTCCAGATAACGGAAATCGGTGATCAGACATATATCAAAAAACGTCTAAAATTTTAAGATCTACTTAGTTGAAATTCAAGTTTTTAGTTGATTAGTAAATTTTTCAATATTATTCAGCCCCGAAATATTACAATTTTTGGGAGGATGCTATAATTCGTGATTTAGTTCGACGACCATCAGTAACGAGTCGCTTAGGTTGTACCTTTTTCGGTCCGATGAACGTTAGAACGGCCGGTCTTTCCTTTCTACTCGTTTCGTTCTCATATCACCTGTAGTTTTATCACTTCCATCCTGTTAAATTTTTTCTTGAGAATCAGAAAACATAGAGATAATATTTTATTCATTCAATCTGTATTACAAAATTAGAGCAAGCAATATAGTAAAAAAAAGAAATTTGTACAATAAATAGTGCCGTAGAAACCAATTGAGAAAAAAATATATTGTTTGATGGAAAGGCAAAATGAAGCACATTTGCCGATCCAAAGCTGCTGTAACACATGACAATTTAGCATCAATCGAATTTCAAAATACTTTTCAGTATAAGTCATAATCACAAAATTCACTTTTTTCGGAAGTTTAAGTTTCAACGCATGAAACTACAAGTCTAGACAAGACCTTCATCAGATGTGCATTTTATCAGTAAATTGTGAACAAAATTAGCAATACTAGTTAACGTTACATTTCAAGGAGCAATAGTTTAAGTTCTCTGCTCCGTTCGTTTATCATCCGTTCGTTCTCAGTATTTGCTTAACAATGAGAAAACCCTAACTTACGCTAACTATGCTAAAACATGGCTCTTATGTCGACATATCGGTTATCTCATACAATCATGAAAAGAACATGCATATAATTTGAAACAAATAGTCGTACTTAAGGGTCATTATTTGCACTTCTTAGTTGACGTTGGTACGTTAGAATTCTCACATTTGGAAGGCTACAGCACGCCGCTGTTGACTCACTAAGTTCGCATGCCGCAAACGGACGTTCATTCTTTCAACTTTTCGCATAGAGTAAATTTGAAGATTTTCATACGAAAGATCTACCGATAGTTTAAGTTATGCTCAAACACTTTTTATTATTTAAGCCTACTCTTTCTAAATGACATCCTTTCAAAACTATGAACGTCAATTGACCATTTTGACTAGATCGATGAGACGCTCAAACAATAACTTTCGAAAAAAACATAGCCAACAGACAGTTGAAAAAAACGCCAATGAACGCAAGGAAAGAGGAAAAAACATTCTTGGTTGTTTTAATGTTTTATGAAAACATTGTCAGCAGACAGGAGGAACAGTTTCGATCACTCAGGAAAAAAGAAAAAAAAATACTGACTACATTTTGAATAGTTATTTATTCAACTTTCGATTTTTGAAAAAAAATACATCACGTTATAGTTCTTTGAAATTCAAGAGCCTTCTTTTGACATAGTTTCGCTATATTCAACCCACTTTTTGAAAACTAGATGAAAAGGAAACAAGACTGCTCGTATCAGGGCGAAGCCCTGAATGTTCCCACTGCCTTTTAAGGTTTATGGAGCAGCAGTAATAGCAAAAAAAATTTAAATGAAATAAAATAAAATTTTTTTTTTCTAAAATTTGAAATTTTTTAGGAAAATCATCCCCCCACACGCCATATAAAGTACAAAAAGAGAGATTTCGTTCCTAGTAACAAATCAATCATGGCAAATAAGCTTCGTTCAACCAATTTGGAACGATTTATAAAATGGATTAAATCTCCGCTTACGCGTTAATAGCGCGAATTATATCGCGCGTTAACTGTCCCAAATTGCTCAAAATGGCAATCTTTAAACCCTCATAACTCTACGAAAAATGATCACAGGTGAAATATCTTTTCAAATTTAAGCTCAGGACAACAATATCTTTTGAATGATATAAAAAATTCCGTCAAAAATGGCTAGTTAAAAAGTCGAAATTTGTCTGAAGAAAAAAAAAAACCCACCAAAAGCACAAATATTCCGTTACTTTCGTACCGAAAGTCGGAACAAAAAGTATTCCGCTGGGAAGTCTAATAATTTAACTTCACTTTCGAAACTAGAAGTCGTTCGCGTTCGTATTTCAAAAATATAGAAGGGCTTCAAGCTCTTTCAATTTGAAGATCAGTTCATGACTGACATAGATAAAAATTATAGACTTCCCATGCAAATTTTATTCAGATCAATTGTTAATTTTAGTATTGTACTAAGAAATCTAAAATTGAACTATACTGTCGATTAACTAGAATTATATCACAATTTTTGTAACTTCTACACTTATGCTTTTCGATAGTCGAGTTTGTCTTCTTTTTAACAACGAAAATGAGCGGAACTTGAAAAGAAATCAGAAGTCAAACCGATCATTAACATTAAACCAAAAAACTAATACGTTAAAAAGGTTGCTGAGAAAAAATCATGCATAAAAAAATTTTTCAAAGACTTTCAAAAGCCTGTGAACAGTGGCGAAGCAGTAAATTGAGAAATGCTTACATATGATTCCTCGAGAATCCTAAAAAAACTTCGTAAAAATAAAAGCAGTCATCGGGATTTGATGCCTCACCCTTCCGCTGACTAGACACATTTTTCAGCATCTAGGCCAAATCAGCATCTCAAGAGTGAACAATTTACATACTTATACCTAGCAAACTGAAAAAAAAAACTTTTATCATCTTGAGCCTTTTCGGCTTCGAATTTTAAATTACTTTCGTTACAATTCAGAAGACAGATCTAACAGAAGAAAATTGTTCTTATTGTTTCAAACTTTTTCAATTCAAGTTCTTAATTTCTTGACTTTGCTTGGAGCGACTTCCAATGCCATCTTCACTTCTTTTCTACTTTCAGCTAAAAGCAACAATCGAGTCTCAGAAAAACGAAAGTCAAAAACGATAGAATAGATGAACGTAATGTAACTCAACTGATGTTAACTCAACAGATTGCACTTCATGTAACGACAGACGGAATTTCAACTAACTCTAAAAACTAATCAACTAAAACTGGACATCAACAGGTGTCAATCTTGAGGCGACCGGTGGCGCTTTTTCTCGCGAGGCGAGCCATGTCTCCTTTCACGGGGCGGACTATACTCCCCAAAAACAGGTGCTCGTCGCTCCCGATTACTGTGGGGAGAATCATGTTTTGGAGATGTGCTTTCTGTCTCATTGGGGGAGATACTTTCACTGTCAGTGGACGGTGTTTTATATCTGTGATGGGGGGACCTTTGGTCTCTATGTCTGTGGGATTTATGTCCTTTTTTGTGATGGGTTTTATGCAATTTATGCTTGGGCGATTTGCTGTGTTCTCTAGGGGAGGGGGAACTGGGACCTGTAGCGTGACCAGGAGGAGACCGATTCGCCCGCCCATCGGGAGATCGGCGCACCCTCACTCTTCGCCTGTATTTTGGTCTTACATTGTTGCCGCCCGCTTGAGGGCTGCGGTAGAGGCCTTGCCTTGCCGCAGCGTCTAAAAATAATCATCAAAAGTTCGAACACCTTTCTTTGTCGTTATTTAAAACACCTTAAGAATAGGCAGGGTATTTTTCACTACAACGAATGATCTCCGTATTCATGCTTAGAGCGGTTTTTTTATTCTAAGACCAGTTTGATTGTAATTTATACAATTATTAATTGAATTTAAAAAAGTTTAGATGGCAGAAACAGAATAAAAAATAGATTGAGAAAGACATCTGAGCAATTTCTATTAACAGAATGACAAATACTTAAATGTGTACCCTCAACGAACGGAACTAGAACCAAACATTGAACACTTTTAACAAACTCAAATCATCATGATCTGTGAGATAGATAAATGTAACAAGGAGCACTATAATTAAGCGCGACTGAGGCTTGTCAGTTTTTCTTTCAAATTGAGTTAAAAATCAGCTAAAAAGACGACTTTTTCCTATTATTTTTTTAACTTAGTTTCTACAAACTTGGTTCGTTTCAATTGAAAAATTACGCTTTCAAATTATGTTCAAAATTATCTCATGGTTTTTTAGCCAATTTACGTTTAATTTAACGGAACAAAACCAACTAACAGAAACTAAAGTACTGATCCAATTAATCAGAAGTAGCAACAAAAATGTTTTATTTCAGATGCAAACAGATAGGTTTTAATTCAAACTCCTCGGATGGTTTTTGTTCAGTTGCTACTTGTGATTCCGTCCAGCCCAGAAAATTGACCATTAAATTATCATTCTCGAGAGCACATAGTGAGCAATAAACATGAAATCTAGATATAGTCGATAGACTATTTATGTATTAATGAATCAATTTATTGATTAACAGAAGAAAAATAATCGATGGATAGAGATAGCATTATGAAGTAAAAATCAATTAGCTAGAAAAGTTTTCGAACGCGATAAGCAATAAGATTTTCAGCAGTTTCAATTGGATTTAATTTTCAGTTTATTTGCTGTCAGGCGCGACCAATGGGATAGGCATATTCCCGTCTTTCTGGTTATGAGGGATTGAAATTTACAGTTGAGCACCGCACTTGCCAAACAAGTGTGTATGTTGTTCGGGGGGTGGGGAGGGGGGGGGGACTATATAGGGCGTGGGGGTGGGCAATCGATAGTGCTAGCTGCCACTGTAGGGTGGCAGGTAACAAGTAGTGACTGGTGTTGTCTATTGAGCTCTGAAATTAGGGTTCTGTATGTTCTGCTCTGCCTTTTGGTAGAGAGGGTTGTCCCCTTTAGCTCTCATCTCACCTTCTTGCGCCTTGAGGAACGCCTTGTACTCTTTCTTCTCCTGCACCACCACGTACGCCTGCACAAAAGAAACGATTCAATATCTAACAACTTTTTTGTCGTCTAACAGGCAAATTTCCTTTTTTGGAATCTATTTTAAGATAGAGGCATTATTTTTCACAAATCCTACAAAATGCAGTTTTGGACCTTTTTTGGAAAAAGTTAACAATAAAATGCGGTTTCCTGTTGCTCACTCCTTAGCGTTCGCAAAATTAGTGAACCACAAGCCCCCTTAAATCTGCTCATTTTATGAAACAAGTCTTTAAATTTGTACTTCATAATGAACTATTGTTTTTCTTCACACTGATGGAAAGTGACCGAAGCTACCACTTTGAAGGCGGCAAGAAGAAATGGGGGGCTTCAATGAGATATCAAAATTTAAATTGACTAGTCTGATTCCGTGACAAGCTACTACAACTGACATTAAGGCATATTCAAAACTAAAAAGCACGCATCAAATAATATAGACTTACCATTCGAGATTAACATTGTATTCTATCACCGAAAAATTATGAGTTAAATTATGCTTCTCACCTTCCAGCCTATGATGAGGAGGAGTCCGACTATAAGCACCAGTATAACCACAATCAGCACAATGATCCATGCAGCAGTACCCTCTGTGCACATCAGATTAGAGTTGTACTAAAAAAAAACTTCATGCGCTATTGACAAAATTTTGCTATTTATGATTTTATACAGGGTTTCATGGAACAGCGAAAACAGAGCGTCATCGCGGTTTTTTCAAAGTTTATGCACAAGGACAAGTAAACGCATAGACAAAATTGATAAACTAAATATTTGACGCACTGCGCACTGTAAATTAAAAGCATAATTAACACGAAGACTGAAACTAAAGGCAATTTAAACCTCTTTCAACTTTTTAGTTTCGAAGACAAAATGTATCAGGATGAAGTTCTTTGAATTAACAAAATATATATTGCGAATTTTTCCGTTAATTAAACCCAAGTTAAGACGCAGACGCAAAGCTGCATTCTACAAACAAGCAAAAAAAAGTAGCTCTTAACGGGGTCAAAAAGTGAAAAGTAAAAATAATAGAAAATCTGCTGTGCCGGAACCGCAACGACCTGGAGATTAAAAGTCACACGTCCTAAAATCTGCGCCACCACGTACGCCTGCACAAAAGAAACGATTCAATATCTAACAACTTTTTTTCGTCGTCTAACAAGCAAATTTCCTTGTTTTGAAATCTATTTTCAGATAGACATTATTGGTGTCTAACACGAATTCAACGCTTAATTTTCAAAATGTATCATAACGTCAAAAATTGGATATTTACCAAGCCCGTAGCTGACTCTACATTACATCTCTATTTCATTTTCTATTTTTTTTCAGAATTGGCATAGTAGTCCTTGGGAAATTGAACAACGTCCAAAAATGGGTCAAAATGTCAAATAGCTGATTCTTTACCAAAAATTGAAAAATTCGTTTATACTGAGGACCCTAACAGCTTGTTTTTCGATTGAACCTATTTCAGTTTTGGCCATGTAGTTTTCGAGAAAAATCAAAAGTTTCCAAGAAACGGAAATTTCGAAACCCAGCCAATCAGAGATTGGAAAAGAGAAATAAACGCAAGTAAACAAAAAACACTGATTTGCTGAAAAAATCTAACCTTTCGAATTTCAAAGAAAAAAATAGATGCCCTTTAAGCTCTTTGAATTTCTAGAACGATAAATGACTGGCGCTTTTTTGATAACATTAACTGAACTAGAGAAAACTGGATCAACGCATAAGGTTTTTATTCTGTTGGAAATCTAAAAATCAAATTCCTCTTTTGAACTTAGAAATCGTTCACAATTTTTTGCGCCAATTCCACGTTCGTATTTGAAGAGTGCTATTTACGTCACTTTTAGCAGATGAATTTCAATTGAACTCAAACAGGGCATATATACCTAAGTGCATTCACAAATTCATCAATATGTATGAATGCACATCTGTAGTTATTAGACATTTAAAACTTTTGCTGAAAAAAAAATCAGCAAGACCTATATAAGAGTCTTCACTACGTTCAGTACTCTTAAGCATGGCCTTTTCATAATTTCATCTTTAACTTTCTACAAAAACTAGATCAAAGCCGCTATGAAGGGAAATTATCTCGCACCTCTTTTTTCGATTGAACCCTTTAACTCAACTTTGGCAGCGTACTTTTTGACTAAAAACTCCTGAAATTGTCTGCAATAAGTCCAAAATATAAGCAGAAAAATCCCAACTCCTGTTTTTCCGATTCACCTTTTATTTCTGATTGCATATTTTTGCGCCAATATTTTTTTTAGAAAACACTATTTGTTAAGCGATGATTTACAGAATCTGTTTTTTCTCGCAAACCCTTAGTTTAGGATTGGAACGGGTAATTTTCGAGAAAGAGAAAACTTCAAATTTTGGACAGTTTCTGAGACCAAAACTCTTTTACTACTGAATAATGGTGAGGCAGAGCTTATTCAGGGGGATCTCCAGAACACTTCTTTTAATTGAACCTTTAATCGCAGATCTGTCAAGGAAGCTTTCGAGAAAAGGAAAATATTCCAGAAAAATGGGTCAAAAATTCCCCGCAATGAATTTTTTGAAGGTTGTAGAACGTCCGGTGAAGTTAAAAGAAACTAGCAGAACATCCAAGCACACAGGGGAGCAAGTGGGAACAAACCTGAAAGTTCTTAAGCTTCAATAAAAAAGTAAGTGAGAAAAGCAAGCAAGAATTTTAAGAAAAAATGTTTACAGGAAAGGTCTAGTTCCCAATTACAAGACACCTGCTTTCATAAATGTCAGAATTTTATGCGCATTTTTGTTCATATATATCTTTTTCTCAGATGTCTGTTGACAAAAAAATCAGAGATTTCGTTCTAGAAATCGATCACATTTTTCGTGAATTTTACACTTTAGCTGTTCGATAGGGAAGTTTGCCTTCCTTTTAACAAAGGAAATGAACTGAACTTGAAAAAAAATCACAAGTTAAACCGCGAAAAAGTGGATTTGAAATTGAACAAACTCTTTTGAACACATTAACTACGCTCACCAAAACATCAAACATTCTTCCATTGTTATTGATGTAGACATCTGCTGAGCATTCTGTTCTTATTAAAATAGTGCACCTTCGCCATATAGCATCGTCTGGGGACTGTTCCGAGTCGGTAATATCTGTGAAGTTGAACTTATCCTGAAGTTTGCACGAGTCCCCCTTCAATTCTTTGAACTCGCATTTTGCTGCGTTTACATATCGCTTTTCCTCGCACATAATGTTGCTACACTCTTGAGTTTCGCAGATATCACAAAACGGACCTAAACCAAAGATTGAACAAATAGCAACAAGTCATATTTCTAACTACCAAAAAAAATCAAAGAAAGAGCAAAGAATTTATCACTACATAAACGCATGATTTTCTTTGATTTTTATTTTTAACTTACTAGATTCGTAGAAAAACAAATCATTTTTAATTTTCAAGTATCTTTTATTGGAGACTTGAAATAAAACTAAACCTTATTGAGAAAACTGGATCAATATGCAAATATACTTCCACTAGATAACAGAAAAATCAAATCCATTTCGAGCTCAAAGTGAAGCTCCACTTTTTGCGCCATTTGCATTTTTTTTATAAAGCGCCAAATTTGCTTTCATTCGGTATTCATAGTAATTTGAACAAAGAGCTTCATGGAAAATCAAAAATATGAAAACAAAATACCGGAAAACCCGTTTGAGCACGGGCAGTCTCCGTTGCATCTACATTCTCCGCTCGTGCGGCCATTGCAAATCAATTCGTCTGGAAAATTTGGGTCTTGACATTCGGAGCTCTTCACACAATTGCAATTCCGGTCTGAAACAAATTCACCTGTCATCAATCTAACTTCAAAGTAATCAAACTGCGAATAGATCAATCGCATTTGACTAGGCAAATGAATCATGCTTTTTTTTGGAAAAAATATATGAACAAACGTCAACATAGCCAACCAACAGTTAAAAAACTATAAGTGATTTCAAGCAAGCAGACCAGGAAAAAATCTTTATTTAAAAAATTGTCAACTACCGACTTTTTAAGAAAAAATATATAAATTTGGAGCTCTTTAATTTCAAAAATATTAACACTTAAGAAAAAATACTCTAAAATTGACAAAAATGGATCAATACCGCTGGGAAACCTTGAAATTAATTTCCACTTTTTGGACCTTAAGTTCAATCATGTTTTTTCGCGCCAAATGCACTGACGTTACACGCACGAGCGCCTTTCGCGTTACTTTTAGCAAATGAATTAACAGCCCTAGAAAAAAAGACCTAAATAAAAGTTTTCACTTCTTTCATTGACACTTAGACGGTTACCTACCAAAAAGTAGACAACTCATTAAAAAGACATCTACTCTATTAATCAATTAGAATCGAGAACAAGAAGTAAACTTAGGAAATAAATAATCCCTCTACTTTTTGACTGGTATGAAATAAAGGTGGTCTACTTTTTGACCGCACTCCCACTTAGACGTAGTCGTCAATTTTGTTATCTTTACATCGGGAACCGCTTTTACTTTATTGTCAGACTATTTGCCTATTCAAATTAGTCACCCTCTACTGGGGGATACTCCTCTAACAGCCAAAGACTTTTGTAAACTTCAACAAACCAAACTGGGACAATTTAACACAGAGGGGAAGCTGAGCTTCGCATCACTTGCGATACAACACAAACAAAAAAAAGCATACCTCTTAACTTAAGTTTTCGTAAGTCTCGATAGAAGTTCATCTTAGGCAAAGATGCCAGACAATTAAAGATTAAATGAGCAACAGAGTGAAACTAACCAAACCGAAACAGAGCCGAAAATGTTTGAGCATACAAAAATGGAGCCGAAAAAATCAAATTTGAAAAATTTAAGAAATCAATAATAATAGTAATAAAATAATTTACAAAATAAATTAGTAATTCAAAAAAATTGAGAATTTTCAATTTCTTCCCTGAAAGTACAGTGAGCAACACTTCCCGTTTTAACTTCAATGAAAGTTGCGTATAGATTAGGAAAAATCCGTGATTAGTCAACTAAGCCGATGACCTTTGAGCAGACACAATTTGAGTTAAAAAAAAATGATTTTAGAAATGTCATGAAAAAATCTTACAGAACAAAAAAATCCGTGATAAGTCAACTAAGCTGGCAATCGTTGAGCAGATACAAGTTGAGCAGAAAAAACATGATTTTTTTAAAAATTTTTTAAATTGTCAAGTTCCTCTAAAAAACACAATGAATAACACTTGCACATGCAATTACTAGGAAAGTTGCTTACAGCGCAAGCAAAATCCGTCATGTGGCAACAAAGCTAACAATCTTTGAGCAGACACGAGTTGAGCCAAAAAGAAAAGCTATAAAGTATAAATGTTCAAGTCCCCCTGAAACTACATTGAACAACACTCGCACTTGCAACTACAACGAAAGTGGTTTACAGCACAATCAAAACCCATGATTTGGCAACTAGGCCGACTAAACTTAAACAGACAAACGAAAGTCCGACAATTCAAATTTACTCGAAAAAAATTCAATTGCATATATACTGAAAAACCCCTGACTGGAACCATTGACCTTGAGTGTAAAGGCAACTGAATTACCTCTAGCCCAAGTGGAAACGAACCTGGAAGTTCTTAAGCTTCAATAATAAAGTGAGTAAGAAAAGCAAGTGAGACTTGTAATAAAAGCTGTATACAGGAAAAAGTCTAGTCCCGATTAAAGACACTTGTTTTCGCGAAGGTAAAAAAGAAATTGAAAAAATACTTTACGAAAACGTTTACATGATGAATGTTAACGTTGCAGAAAAGTAAGAAACACTAAAAAGGCGGACGAGCTCCATACTTCCGCAGACTCGACCGTTTTTAGATAATGATTAAACAGACTAAATCAAGAAACTGACAATAGAGCGCGATTAAATCAAACTTGAGAACCCTTACTAGAAACACGGAACTTTTAATTTTTTGATAAAAATAAGGATGAAAGAAAAAAAAATGACAGGAGTTTAATTTTTACGGCAAAAAAGAAGGAATGACAGCAAAATTTTTTCAAATTTTAAAATCTTTTTCACCACGGTACAATTTAGCCGTCAGATGCACAAGTGACCTTTCACAAACAAAATGAAGTAAGGGCAGATATACTCATGATTTTTTTATTTTTATTTTTAAATAGGCAGTTTTGTAAAAAAAAATACATATCTTTGAATTTTCAAGTATCTTCTATTATGGACTTATTAGATGAAACTAAATCTAATTGAGAAAACTGGATCAATAGGCAATTACACTTTCGCTCGAAGTATAATTCCTTCTCTTTTGCCTCGAGAAGGAAACAGCCAAGAGTCAGTTGGAAAAAGGTCAATGTACGCAATGAAACCGAGAAAAAAACGCATCCGAACTTCAAAGAAACAATAGATGAACTTGAAGCTCTTCGACTTTCTAGAAAAACTAATGATTGGCTCTTTTTGATATAATTAACCCAATTTGATAAAACTGAAAATGAAATTCCACTTTCAAATCTAGAAGTAGATTACATTTTGTGGGACCCCTACACTTTCTCTGTTCGTAGTTTGCCTTCATTTTAACAAAGCAAACGAACTGAACTTGAAAAGAAATCAAACCAAACCGCAAAAAACGTTGAACTCTTAATCAGTTAGCAAAAACAAAACCACACAATCTAAATAAGTGACTTCTCTTTGGTCGTGTCGTGGACACTTTTGGATACAAGTGATTTGAATACCACTTGCAGCTTATCGCAAATATAACAGGGCAAACAGAAAAAAATGAAAACACCCTTGCTTATGCCAAGAGTAATTATACTGAAATCTGAGTTGCTAAATTTAGAACCAACATAAAAAACACTTTTCGAATGAACGGGCACTTTTAGAAAATGCAGGCATGCTCAAAATAAGTCTCTTGCTTGACGAAAGTACAGATTTCGAGATGAAAACAAATTTCAGTCATCATGTGAACAAATTAAAACCGGGGAAAAGTCTATTACCCGATGAAAAAGTCCAGATCTGCAAAACTGCTGCTTATCGAATGAGTAATATTAAGTTAACATGGCTGCTCACCAGCATCATATTTATCAGGCTTGTCGCATCGGCACGCCATAGAATTGGATTCTGGATTACAGTAGCAGGAACCTCGGCCATAGCAGGTTTCTCCCTCGTCTCCCTAAGCATTGAATTTGATCTAATCGACATAATTGAGACGTAAATTATACTAATTTTGAATATCTCAACAAGGATCTAGAGATCATTTACACGGATTTATTTCCTTGGTAACCCACTTTGGATAAATAAGCAGACGGTAAAACTGATCAGTTTCTTACCTTAGGACAAGAATCGGGGTCACATCCACAGGTGATGCCAACATACTTGTTGCCAAGAGAGTTCGCGTTGCACTCACACTCGCCACAGTAACACACTCCATTCCCGTTACAGGCCTTCAACGAACTACTTTTACCTCTGCAGGCCTCGTCAAATGCCCCGTCTGATTTCCCTTGGTCAGCTGGACAATCGCATTTGGATCCATGCCAGGAAGGTTCGCAAGCACAAACACCGCATTCCAGATCTCCATTCACACACCTAAAACGATAGAAAAGTACTGAAAGAGGTACATGTATTTTGAGATGAAGAGTACTGGTAAAGAATTACTTTCCGCATTCACACTCTATTTATTTTTTACATTACTTTACTCCAGATATCATATTGATCTAAGCGTCTGACATATTGGAAAGCGAATAGTTTTTAAGGAAAAGAAAATGAAGAAAAAAGATGACCTAAGATATAAACTTAAGTTTGGCAAGTTTTTCTGGATTTGCACATTTAAATAGCCGAGGAAAGTGTTAGTCGATAGTATAAATGATTTTTTTTGTGCGCGGTGTGGTGTGCTAAAACGATTTGATTGCTTTTTCATCCGATGCTTGCATTTCAGACCGTAATTGGTATAAGGAGGTAATTGGCGAACATGCAAATCAGTACACTTGTAAAAATGTAAGTTATTCCGCATCTAAAAACGAGTTAAATAGTTTTTGTGAATCAATTTGCTAAGGACGCAAGCCATATGGAAAGTGTCACACGGAAAATTATCATGGAAAACATTCAAGTTATCTTAAACTAATGTCTTTGCCCAAAACTTGCATTTCTTCAATTACACTTTCAATAATGTTTGTTATTAAATATCAAATATCAGCAAATTTAGAGTCCATTTTTACAAATAAAAAGGGCTTAAAATGGTGACTTTTTTTATTTCAATAAGCCCTGAAACAATAAGAATTATTCTTTCACTTAATCTTCAAATTCTCCTAAGATACACTTGCAAATAACTAAAAAGACTGCTCGTACATCAGGGCAAAGCCCTGAAAGCTCAGACAGTCCCTTATTTCATATCGAATAGTTTTTAGGAAGAGAAAATATTGAAAGCCTTTAAATTTTGGACAATATCAAAGTCTGAAACTATTAAGTCGTACGAAATTAATACGACCGATTAGCTAGCCTCAATTAAATTTGGGAAGATTTTGTTATGCGGGATAATTCGCCACGCATGAACAAATCGGCATTATGAATAAACTCTTCAAAGCGCGCATAATTTAGTCCAGAACAAGGCCTAGTTGGCAATTTTCAAAACCCCAGAACTTTACAGAAAACAATCTGAGGTAAAATATCTTTTTTCAATTCATCTCAGAAAGTCTATATCTTCAATGGGGTATAACAATTTGTTGTTGAAAACTATTATTATTTCGATCGGCGAAAGTTGACTGCATAAAAAAACAAACCGAGAGTCGGAACAAAAATGTGACCATTCGGATAAACATGAGCTTCAAAACATACAACAACTTGTGCTTTAATTTAATACGAAAATTCTCATAATTGGAGAAACGCTCAAAAAGGGACCTTGAAATATAGGAAAAGCCGCTTGCGTGAAATACTCGGCAAAATTCTATTCGGTACGTGTGTTATTGTGCGCGTACATCTTTGCCGCTAATTTTAACTTTTGAGTTTCTGATAATTGCCTTAATTGGGGAATCTTGACCCAAGACTGAGCGTCTTTTTGAGTCTGTCAATAAATCTTGCATCACTTAATTCCGTTGGTCTGCTAAAAGACTCATTTTTCACTTTTTATGCTAAAAGATAGGTCTGCTAAACGATCGGTCCCCATCGAGACTATATGTTCTGAGTAAGACGTGAAAGCATTTAAATCTGAACGAAAACTTCGTTTCATAGTGCGAGCAATTTGTCGCGCTTTCTAGACGCTCTTGTTCACAGGACATTGGTAGCTACACCGAATTAAGCGAACATGCATAAAACTGTAGATTTGAAAAGATGTTAATCATTGTATGTTCTACAAATAGAAGTCTACCTGAAAAAAACTGTAAGTAAATGAGAGGATAGTGTACATAAAAAATTAACTGAATATTGAGCATCAGATAGTTGCTAATGAAAACTAGGAAGAAAACTTACTAAACACCTTCATATTTTATAGAAATTGAAAAAACAACAGTCTTTACTATGGGAATTGTAATTATGGATATCTCCTCTTAACTTCCTTTTATTTGAAAAAATGACAGTACATTGCAAAAGCGGAATTAGGGGAAGCGGCCGGAAACCGCTTTTTCAGAGCATTGATCTCCTAGCCACCAAAAATGATAAATATCTCCTTTGATACTATTTCACAACATCCATTTTTGGTGGACCAGCCGTAAACTTTTTCTTAAGAGGCCAATATATACCAAGTTTCAGGTGAGAGCGCGTGCCAAAAAACATAGCAACTTTTTCATCAAAATCTTTCGCAAAAATCATTTTTGACCTGTTTTTTTTTCAAAATCTATACTGCAGCTCAGAAAAAGGATTATTTTATTACGCTGCTAGTCTTATAAAAATCAATAAAATAAAAAGAACGATCAAACAATTCGGCAAAAAACGCAACCCTACCGGGATTTGAATCAACCGTGATCAGAATTTTAGACGGAGGCAATTCGGATAGTAATATATCGAGACTGTTCAGCCAAAAGACGCTAAACATTTCAGCCGATTTAAAAATGAGACGTTTCAGCCAGTTTAAGACATCTGAAACAATATAAATTAGCGTCAAACACTGATTCTCGCACACAATTTCTCTAGTTTCCTATGAAAGCGCAGCTGAGCAAGCCTTCGCTATAGCTTTTAACAAATTTATCGGACGTATTAAATTTTTGATATAATTCTGACTTTTAAATTCTAACAAAATCGAAATACTTCTTTGAAATTTCGCGTTTGCCTTTTTGTCGGCATTGTATGCTTTTTTCTCTCAAAAATTGAATCGCAAATCGTTGTTGAATGAAAATTTTGTTCAGTTGTGCTCTTGAAATTCTCCGAAAAAGCGCAATCAGTTTGCGTTGCTCTTTTGTCAGTTCAAATGCAGTTTTCAACAATCAATTGCAGTTTTAACGCCATTTCACTGTCTCAAGGTCAGAATCATTTCAAAAACTTCAAACGTCCGATAAATTTGTTAAAAGATATACTTGCCAATGCCGTTTGCATTCGATAAATTTTAGAGTTATTGCTGCAACGATAAATTAATTGAAAAGTTTCAGGTAGAATCATCTTGCTTTTTTCGACCAAAATTTCAAATTGACTTAAATATTTCTGTCCGAAGTAACGCGGCTCTTAATCATCGTAACTAACATAAAAACAAGACATCCAATTTTTTTCAAGTTTCCAAAGACAAACCACATCTTCGAAGAGCTCTTTTCTTGAAAAGAAACTTCTATGGTTAATATTCGTTTCAGAACACAAAACCGAATTGAGAATTCATTCCACCGGCAATTCTATAAATTATACATTTTTGCGTTCATTTCAACCTACATGATTGCATATCTTTTTTAAAAAATAACTTTAATTTCAACAAGTCTGTTTCCTGTCTTTCAATTTCAACAAGAACTCCAATTTCAACACAATTGCTAAGAGTTGCAAATAAGCACACTTTCTTTGGTATCTTTCTCGGCAGAAAATAAATGTTCCACTAATTTCAGACCAAGTCAACACTATTTCCAAGTTCAATTTCTGAGAAACCTACTGATTGTGTAATAATGTATGGAAAAAATAGAGGTATTCATTTACTTTTTAAAGCTGGCCAGAAGTTCTCAATTCGAGCGGAATAGAGAAACAACAAGGGAAGCAAGATATATATAAAGAATACTTGATAAACTCGCCTGCTTTCAAAGAAAAAAATGTTTCTCGACAAAATCACATGCAATTTCCACACCCACAGAAACCAGAGCTTCTCCACAAAGGAATTTGAGCGATCAGGAAAAACAAAAATAGTACAAACATCACATATTGTATAACAAAGAGTTCCACAGATGGGATGGTGTACCATGAGACCTATTTTGGACCCATGACTAGATGAAAACTCATCAACTAGCGTCAAGTAGCATGTGGCAATATTAACGTGCTTTGTAGAAAAAGTATATGGTTACACTATTTTATAAGGCTCACCCACATTGCAATTTTAAGTACAGTGGAAATAGTTGGAATCCTGCCAATACAGCGTATGCCAATGCACAGTTACTTTTAAACAATGTTCGAAAATTCCGCCTATTAAGTAAATTCTTCGAAACCGTCGACAGGAATTCATTTTTGCAACGACCGACTAACTTGGTAATGAAACATTGCAAGCTTACAGGCTAGAAACTATGAATGAAAAGTTTAATTAAAGCGCTCTGATTGTAGCTCAACAAATGTAGTAGCAGTAGTACTTAAGATTTTAAATCATTTCAACCCAATTATCAGTAAAAAATTAATAAATATTTTAAAGAACAAAATAAAATAAAACTACGATTTAGCAACAGCAAGAACAGAAAAAATTGATTTTTTTTTGCGGAACTTCTGTCTGAGTTAGTGATCAACCAGTTTTTGAAGAAAAAAATTAAGCTATGTTTTCAAAGCAGTCGGAGGCGTCGCATGAATTTTCAATGAACTAACTTGTGCATGTGATTTGCATTCTTAATCCAGTTTTGAAAAAGTAAGAATCCGTTTTTTCCTTCGTTTTCGGAATTTCAAATCTCGAATTTCAATCGATGTATTTCAATCGATGAAATTCGATGTATATTGTCGAGATACACTCATCCAGACATGAACACAATAGTGTTCATGCAGCGGAAATGATGTGCAAAAAATTGCACAAAATTACTCGATCTTTGTTGCTTAAATCATAAAATATGCTTGACGCGTAAAAAAAAGATGCAATTGAAAGTATGCTCCATTTAAGTTTTTAAAAAAGCCATGCGTGATACCCATTATTTTACCAATACGACATTTCCAGTTAATTTCAATTGTCATTGTCACGTCAAGGACTTTCAATAGAGGAATAGATATTATTTCCTGCCCTTAGTAATTTCTTTATAATCATCATTGCAGAACTGCTTATTGAAAAACAATGAAAAGAGTCAATGAAAGCAAGTAAACAGAAAAAAAAACTGACTTAATTTTTCGCATTTCCAAGAAAAAAAACGGCTTTAATATTTTCGAACAATTCATAGACACTCTTTTTGATAAAAATAACCCATTTTGAGAAAACAAGATCAATAGGTTAAAAACTTAATTCGCTGAGAAATCCGGTAATTAAATTCCATATTCGAAATTCGAAGTTGATCACGTTTTTCGTGGCTTTTATTTTCGCAGTTCAATAGTGGAGTTTGCCTTCTTTTTAATAATAGAAATGCACTGAGCTTAAGAAGAAATCACAAGTCAAACCGCTAAAAATCAAAATTGAGCGTGAACAAATTTTAAGATTTTTTCCTGAGAAAAAAAAACAATAGAATAAGTAAGACCTATATAAGGCTCTTCACTACGTTCATTACTCTTAAAAAAGTATCACGATCTATGATATAGTCTTAACTACTTTCATAGAATTAATCAAAGAATGGTAAGAACCCTAGATATAACTTCAAAGATAATTAGAATTGATAAATATCCTAAGAAAGAGAGATATCCTAACTGAAAAACAAAGATATCCAAAAAAAACACGGTTCTGATTTACACTTTGAGAAAACTGAATTGTTAGGTTAAATTTTTATTCCTCTAGGAATTTTAAAAAACTAACTCCTTTCGAAACTAGAAATTGAGCACTTGAATTGAACTGATAATCATTTGTGCAGTTATGAGTATGAATGCACTTCTTTTGTTATTAAAACATTCCAGGACTTCTGGAAAAAAAACCAAAAAAAAAATCATGACCTATAAAATAGTCTGAACTACGTCAACGATTCCTAATAAGCATCGAGACAAAACTTAGAAAAAGCTTAAAATTCCGAATTTTCTTCAGCAGACACACATTGCGCCAAAAAAACTTATTAGTGCCCGGGTCGAGCTTATGATTTTATGATCCGACGGTCATGGCCAAATGTTGGTATTTCAAGACTGTCGCGACAGAATTTGGACATTTTTAAACCACCGCGACCAAAATTTGATATTACCAGTCATTGCAGACCTAGGCAATGTGTTCGCGACCGAAGGAACGTTAACGGCGACCTGCTCCACCAAAGGAAAATTAACCGCGGCCGGTGCCAACAAAGGAAATATAACCGCGACCGGTGCGACCGAAGGAAAATTAACGGCAATAGGTGAATACTCAGTAGTGGATTTTGGGACGGAGGCGGACGCCTCCTCACCCCCTCGAGGATTCGACCCCCTGACAAGCGCCGAAAAAACGCCCCGAGGATTCGACCCCTTGACAAGCGCCGAAAAATTCGACCCCCCGAGGAGCGCGCGCCGAAAAAACTTCGGCAAAATTTTTGAAGAAGTACCTAAAAACCCATATTGGCTGTTTTCACGAAATTGGCATGCGGCCCAAAAAATCAGGCCAAAACAGGTTTTTTTGGGAGAGCTCGGAAAATCAATGTGGTCGATTAAAAAAAAGGTAGTCGACAAATTTTTGACAATTTTTTTGAAAATCCGCTTTTTTCTCGAAAATCCTAGATCCTAGATAGTATGGAGTTTAAACGACAAGCTTTGTTTTTTTTGACACCACGACTAAATTTACGACCCTGCCGCGACTAATTTTTGACCCTGCCGCGATTAATATTCGACCATGCCGCGACTAATTTTTTGACCATGCCGCGACTAATTTTTTGACCATGCCGCGACTAATTTTTCGACTATGCAGCGACTAATTTTTCGACCATACCGCGACTAATTTTCGATCATGCCGCGACTAATTTTCGATCATGCCGCAAATAATGTTTCGACCATACCCGCAACTTATTTTTCGACCACGCCGAGACTAATTTCATTATTTTAATTTGGCTACTTAACAATTTGATCTAAATAATGTATAAATTCCCATATATCAGAGCGAAAAAAGATTATGGCGAGCATGCTAGGTTTGAAGGCCGTAGACCTGAGTTCGACTCCCTCAAAGTCCTAAAGCGACCATTTTTCGATCAAGGCGCGTTTAATTTTTCGACAATCACGTTTTAAATCGTTTTAAAATTTTTCCACGTTTTAAAATCCTGCCCCCCCGTATTTGGATTTTCGGTCGCAAAATCAACATCGACGAAGTCAAAAATAAATTGCGGAAATTTTGAGCCGAATAAAGAGAAAAAGAAAACATAGCCAACTGACAGCTGGAATAGGGTTATGAACGCAAAGAAATTGAAAAAACCGACTTGTTTTTTCAAAATCTTTAATTTTTGTATTTCGAATAAAAATTAGATGGCATTAAACCTTTTTGAATTTGTAGAACAATTTATGATTGACAATTTTTTGTTAAAATTAACCCAATTTGAGAAAACTAGATCAATAGAAAAAACTTTAATTTTGCTGGAAAACTGATATTTAATCTCCATTTTCAAAATTAGAAGTTGATCACGTTTATCGTGACCTTTACAATTTTGCTGTTCGATAGTGGAGTTTGCCCTCCTTTTAACAATAGAAATGCACTGAACTTAAAAAGAAATCACAAAGCAAACCGCGAAAAACCAAAACTGAGCGTAAACAAACTTAAAGACTTTTTCCTGAAAAAAAAATCAGCAAGACCTATATAAGAGTCTTCACTACGTTCTTTAATCTTAAAAACTGATATACTGAAATCAAAGAGGTAATTTTACAACCAACATAAAACAAATCGAATTTAAAAAGCAGGCATGTTCAAAAATTGCCTGTACACCATCTGTCTGTTCGTTGACGAAAGTAAAGATGGAGATGACCACATTTTAGTCATCCTGTGACCAAAGGAATTTGCAGGAAAAAAATTCTAGTACCCGGTTGCAATACCCGTGCTTATAGCAAGGGTAATCAAGGATCCTAATTGAATGCAAAAAGGTATAAAACTATTTGAAAATCGAAGTCAATCAATTTTTTGTGCATTTTTCATTATTCTTACCGTTGAGTAGGTTGACCCTCATTTATCACAAAGGTACATTTAACAGCGTGAACACCAGAACAAATTGAGCTCAAGCAAGTCTCAAAGTATTATCTGCAAAGTCTAAAAACTTAAAAGCGAACACTCAGTTTTTATTTCGTGCACTTGATCTGATAAACACTTCAAGTATACCCTGAATTGAACCCAAAGTTTACACATAGACTTACGGGTTTCCGGAATTCATTGTATTTTCGCCTATCGTTTCACAACCTGTGCATTCAGCCTTAAGATGCTTGATGGTCGCCGTCAACAACTCGGTTTTTGGATGGACGCCTTAAAATAAATCTTTTGATCAAGACAGTCGATTTTAAATTTGCATGACAAGTGATTCATTTTAACATGATTTTAAAAAAGAGCGCATCTACGTAATAATCTCCCTCGACCTTCAAGAAACGGAGCGAGATTAATAAGTAGATTAAATCTAACGAATTTTCGACCAATCAGAATGCACCAAAATTCAAATTCTCAAAAGAACGCTCAAGTGCTAATTTATTGATTTCAATTATAGGGGTGGAAATTCGTTAGTAGATACCATAGAGAGAGAGAGGGGGGGGGGAGATTGTTAAGTAGATCCAAAAGAGCATTTGATATATTGCAGTACCACGCAACTTCGAATTTCCCACGAACACATCAGAAGTTACGACCAGATTGATTATTAACTTGCCACTAATAATTCGAATAAGTTATTATAATGATTGTGGTTTCTGCGATTCGCAGAGATTCTACGAAAGGCTACCCGGCCTGACTAAGCATAGTCCGTTTCTCTTTTTTCTCCACATTCTAGATTTAAGTTTTGTTGAGATTTCTTGTTTTTTTTTTGCGAAAAGCTGCAACACATCAGAAACTACCTGGGAGATTAAAATTGATAGTGTACTCCTTGCTCGGATTAAGTTCCACTTTGTCTTTGACTTTGATTTGAATTTGAACAGTAATTCCAGGATGATCTCTCGTCACATTGTTACATGCCACAACTTCACCCTGCATGTTCTTCTGTTCGTCAGCGAGGGTCGGACAGCCTCCGTGATCGATGAATGTCTTGATTCGGAACTTGTCAACATCGCCAGAAGCTACCAGAGATACTCTTTTGCTGATTTCATCGAGCTTCATCATCACCTTGTCAACTAAGAAAAAGTTTCTGTGAAAGTAAAAATGAAGACAAAACAATTTTTTATAGACCAGATCAATAACCTCATAGACCAGATTAGATATAGTTGAGTTTCAGAAATAGTAGGATGATTATACCTGAGAAAGCTAGATGTAATTTTAAAGACATAATTGAGTTTATATAATCTTTGAAACATAGCGCTCATACTTGACTTTGTAGATGGTGGGGTCTCTTTAACGAACGAGAAAATACTTCTCCTAATTTTAGAAGGGTCAATAATCATAGGAAATAGATTTTCTTAACTTGATAAAAAAAACGGTAAAAAATCTGTTTCCATTGAAAAAAACTAACTATAGAAACCTAAACTTATTGTTAAGTTGATGGATTTCATATAAACTTGAGTCCCTGTACTATTTACAAAATTAGCATTGACAAAAATATCGAAAAAAAACGAACTTCTGGTTAGCGAACACGTAAGAATAAACACTGAAACCTAGATAATAAATGATTACCCGCAGAATTGTCAAAAATGAAAAAAGAAGACTCAAGATCTGAAATATTGATAAAAATTTGAATTTATCCACCTTTCCGCATCTATATTCCATATCTAACTTTTCATTTTTGATCCAATATTGAAACTCCGGTTCATAAATATCATTTACCATTTGTATCTAATCCGCGACAAGAAACCAAGTTTATCAGCAACAAATTTGTATTTAACTTTGCAACAAACTTTAAACTATTCAACAAACTGAATAACCTGAACTCAGCTACTTACACGAAATCACCATTTCTAAAAGTTCTCATTTTAACATACAATAAACAAACTAAAATTGACCTGTGCCTAAACTACTCGATCCAATTGCTGAATTTTGAAAATATATATATATATATATATATATATATATATATATGATAGCTCAAATGTTTTCTTTTTCAAACCATTTAAAGGGTTCAGTGCTTCTCCGTTTTGTCCAGCGTTGGGATCTCCGTTGTAGGGGTTTGGAATGTATTCGGCCATTCCGCCCATGGAAGCCTGGAGACTTTTGTAGACCTGATTGTTGATCTCGGCGTACGATCGAACGAAACTAAAACAAAAAAGTAGCCGGTTTATTTGCTAGCAGAAGAGAACTTTCTGACACAGAAGCGAAGCTGTGCTTTGCAAACACAAGCGAGAGAAATGCAAAATAGAGCTCTAAACAGGCACAAAAAAAATAAGGAAACCTTGCCAATCGAAGCTTGGAAATGAGTAATGAACGCGCGTAAACATAAAAAAACACTGAAAGATTTTTCAACAAAGTCAAAGAAAAACATAGATGCCCTTTAAGCTCTTTGAATTTCTAGAACCATTCCTCCTGATTAGCACTTTTTTCGATAACCTTAACCCAACTTGAGAAACCTTGATCAACAGGTAAAGTTTTTTAAAAATTAAATTCCACCTTCGAAAGTAGAAATCGTTCACGTTTTTTTTGCGCCATTTCCACGATTGTATTGGGAGAGTGCTATTTACGTCACTTTCAACAGATGAATTTCAATTGAACTCAAAAATTGCATGTATACATAAGTGCATCAATATGTATGAATGCACATCTGTAGTTATTAGAGACTTTTAGGACTTTTTCCTGAAAAGAAGACAAAAAAAATCAGCAAGACCTATATAAGGGCCTTCACTACGTTCATTACTCTAGAAACATTTAAAATACAATTTGAAAAAAAATTGTTGAGATTAGGAGTATCACGTTCTAACATCTGCTTCACGACCGGTTGTAATTTAACTAACACTAGCCACCAATAAAACAGCTACAGTTTCTACCAAATTGCTAAAGTTATGCAGCAAAAATTCGACCAAAAAATGTTCCGGATTTGAATATCCGACCTGTTGTTTAGGGGTCTCACATCATCGCATCTGCGCCACGGCCACTTTGAAATAAAATAGTGACCCAGCTAATGCTGGATCTACCTGTTCTAATATTTTGAATCGTATTTTGTAATAATAAGACAATGCGTAATTTTCGAAATTTCAAAAAACGACTTTCCGCTTAGCCCTAGTGTTTCTCTGCTTAAGTAAGGGATTAACCGTTTTTAAACGGAGAAAACTACTACTCAATTTTTTACTTGAAATCTTTATCTCGAATAAGTTTTCGAAAAAAAAGTGAAAAGGATTCCAAAAGTCGATCAAAAATTCAAAATTTGACTTTTCCTAAATCCATAAAATCTTCTCTACTAGACCAATGGAATAGCCTCTGCTTTCCACATCCTGTATTTAGATTGAAGACTTCCGCTTCCTGGTGTTTTACGTTGAACCCTTAATATCAGAATTAGCCAGTTTTCGAGAATAGTGACGAAAATTCTAAAAAAAAACGGTAAAAATTTTGAAACGATTTTTCCAATGTCCATATCAGCTTTTCTGAAAACAAAACTAGGTAAAAGAGATTAAGCAGCAAAAACCTAAGCACCATGTTAATTTCAATGACCTATCAACCTCAGAATCAGCAGTTTAGTTTTTGAAAAAAAAATCCATAAAACGGCCAAAAATTTACAAGCTGGATATATTCTATACCCTCATTTTTTTTCAAAACGCAAAGAATAGCCGCTTACGCAGGTAAAATTGGAATAATTGAATTTTTTCTTTCCGTTAAACCCTTGATGTCCGACTTCAAATGTCAAAACAAAAAATGGGCTTGTTTGAGGCCACCTCTTTTTCTACCTAATTTAGGGAAAAACTTATTGAGAAGGGGAACCCCTATAATTTGTTCTCTTGATTAAAACCTTCATCTCAGATTTTTGTAATTAATATTTGAGAAAATAGAAAAATTCAAAACAAAAATCCCCCTACTGCAACTTTCGAACGCCGCAGAACGTGAGGTAAAAAAAGAACTTTATTCAAGAACATAGAAGAGCAGCCGGTTTTTTCATTGTTACAATTTTTTCGAAAATCGTTTCAGTAGAACTTTCGAAAGAGTCGCAAAAAAGAAAACGAAAAACAACTAATCCCATACAATTTCGATATAGACAACTTTTTTCAAAAAAAGCTGCAACGTATGCCATTAAATTGTTTATGCTTAATTAAGCTTAGATATGATTAAATATTACATTGAAATATGAGCACCAAATGTGCACTTTTAAATTTTTATTTTCGTAATGATACACTACGCTTCGATTGGGTAAACACAAATATACTAGAAAAATGAAAAGGAAACAAAAAGACTTGAAACTTGTTCGAGGATAAAAAAAAACTGGCGGCTCTTTGAAAACCTATTATTTACAAATTACATAACGTATTAGAATTTCAACCTTACAAATACGCGAGTTAAAGAAAGAAAGATTTCAATTGACCAATTCGGGATTTTAAAAAAGTACGTAAAATAATCTGCAGAAAGGGCAAAAAAAATGTTACATAGAGGCGGAGCGGAGCTTCACATCACTTGCGACAGAACCCAAACAAAAAAAACTGCTCGAAAAAAATGAAAAATGTTGAAAAATTAGGTCTACCAAAACGTTTGCATGTCTCGATAAAAGTTCATTCTAGGCAAACATGCCAAAAAAGCACTAAAACAAACTTACAAAGCGAAAACAAAGACAATAATTTTTTTGAGAAGGCAAGGTGAGTCGAAAAAAAACTGATTTTGTAACAAATGTTTAAGCCCACCCTCAAACTACAATGAATAATACTTGCAACTAAAATTCAAATTGCATATTGCACAAAAAATTCGTAATGTGGCACCTAAACCGACAAAACTTGAGCAGAGGAATGAAAGAATGGTTCATTTTTTTCCCGGAAAACAATTTCGATTTCATAAATGCTGAAAAAAACAAGGCTCGGCCGAGACTCGAGCCACAGACATTAGAATATAAAACGAGCCATATTTTCTCTACGCCATAGTAAAACGAGCCTGGCAGTTGTCGAGATTCAAAAAAGAAGCAAGGAAGAAAAGCTAGTAAGATTTGAAAGAAAAGTTGTTTACGGAAAAATCTAGTTACCGATTACAAGACACTTGTTCTCACTAGTGTTGAAATTACATTAATTATAGCATAAACGAAGCTTGAAACTTGATCCGCTTTTTCTCGGAACAAAAAAATTACAAATGTCCAATCGCTTTATTTGACAAACCAATCAAGATCATAATTTCAGATAATTGAAGACATTGACTTTTGAGGGGGAAAATGTGCTGTGAAAATTACGCCAAGACAGCTGGAAAGTGTCAACAAATGCAAGTAACAGAAAAAATACAAACTTGGTTTTTTGAAAAACCTCAATCTTCGAAAAAATGACCTCTATGCTTTTGTTTTGCTGGAAAATCTGATATTTGAATCCTCTAGCGAAACTATAAGTCTATCACACTTTTCGTGACCTTAACACTTCCACTGCTTGGTATGCTTGATAGTAGGGTTTGTCATCCTTTTGATAAAGGAAATGATCCTATCGAAAAGAAAACAAATTTAAAAAATCAAAAGCCAAACTGCGCAAAAGAAAATTTGAGCCAAAATAAATTATAAAACTTCTACTGGAAAAAAAACAAAAAAGCCATCACGACTCTTGTAAGAGTCTTCATTAAGTTCATTGACTATTGAAAAAATAAGCAAGAAAAGATAGCCTTTATATCAAATTACTCTAAGCCGAAAACTTCCAGTTCACAAAAAAAAAACAGATCCTGGTACTTTTACTTGACTCATTTACAAGAACGTCAGTTATTGGAATAAAAAAAACTAACAGAAACTTGACAAGATACGCTTCCCATGCAAAAACTCCCGATATTGATGAAGTTATCAGGACCGGGTTTTTTTTTAATATCTCAACAGAATCATAGCCAGCAGAGCACAGAAAAATAGTAAACTAACTCAAGAAAACCAGTCCAAATAACAAAATTTATGGCTTAAAAGCTCGTTGAAGTTCAAGTAATTTAATCAGTGGCACTTTCTAAATGAAACACAGATTCGATGAGGAGTTCCGTACAACATGCGATATCACAAAAACAGCAATGCAAGCTCGCAGACAGAAAATAATATAAACATTTAAGTCGAAAATCACTATTACATTTTTTTTATGTTTGTCTCAAATGATGTTCAACTTAAAAAACACGTCTAGGGAAAAATCCGGGGGGTCAAGTAAGTATTTTGAATCATTTGTTAAGCGGTAATTACTCCGACAAAACTTGGGTCTTGAAAAATTGAGCGAAAAATTCTAAAATTTTAGAACTTTGCCCTTCTGTTTTCCAGAGGGAGGGACGTGAAGATTGTGTTTCTGTTACTTTTCTTTTTAGCCCCAAGTGATCGCATTCAGCATTCTCAAACCAAGCTACAGAAACGTCGCAACTTCGGTCGGACGAAGTCACAAATCTATTGGGGTTTTAAAAAATGATGTTCAGGAAACAATTAAAAAGATGCGGAGTGGTATGAGGAAAGGACAAGGTGGGCAGTTTGGGGGGACAATGGGGTGAATTCAATTCCGGTACGCATTCAGTAAGGGGCTGTGACCGGATCTCAACTGGGAAAGAGTTCTCCTGGCTGCACATGGGAAGGACTGAACATGGGAAGGAATCTTCGACTGGGAAGACTTCGGGCGGTCTGATGGGCAAAAAAATTGCGGCAGGTGGGTCTGATATGGCCTGTTTAACTCTATAAGTGTGTATTTGTCTTTGAAGAGATTTGAAAGGTGTAAGAGTATGCAAAAGGTGTATGAGTTTGAAAGATGTAAAAGTTTCGGACAGAATAGTCTCGATTTCAGAGGCGCATAACTCAAGCAGCGAAGGGCGGATATTCCGTGGGGAATTTCGGATTTGAGTGAACGAAAATTTTGAGGGCGAACAGCAAGGCCAATATATGATAGTGGTGGTCCACACTTTAAAGTCTATATTGTGAATGCAATTGTTCTGTTATACCCAGCTTTGTGGTCCCTGTATTCACACGGAGAGCAGCATTTTGAACGGTTTGCAATTTGTAAGGCAGCTTGGGACCAAACAGGGATCGCATAATATAAAATGGGTCTTACTAAAGCATTAAAAGTAACCAGCCACGTTTCTTTAGTTTAACAATCAGTTAAATTCGGGAAACCATTTTCTGGGGATGATGCTGACGTGTTACTATCGTATGGTAGCCTAGTTTGATGATGGCCGTTTCAAGGGGTAATTGTAGATTCAACTATTTTGGGTCCGAGTCTAGACCCGCGTTGGTCTTCGGGGGTACTAGAGTACCACACCAGAGGTTGTGGGCATTACTGTTTTCATCAAATGAGAGAGCTGTAACGGAGGCTCTACGCTACTGAGTTTTTTAATACGGCTGCAATAAAAATGGCTCCAACCACACACGGGGCACCATAGGCTGGCTTGGATTCTTAAAACTTTGTTTGCAAGGAGAGCATGTATAGGGACCATGCAAGGGAAACATGGCTTAATATGTTAAGCTAATTCAGGAAAACCATGAATTAAATTGCACTTACGAAATGGAAATTTTCCACGTTTTTTGCGCCATTTTCACGTTAGAAATTGGAGAATTTTAGTAAATTTTAAAGATGCACTTAAATTGAACTCAAAATGAGCATAAGTACCCCGGTACATACTTAATTGCATTACAGTGCATGAATGCATATAAGTAGTAGAGCCTTTGAAATCTTTTTCCTGAACAAAAGAAAACTAAAAAAGAAATCACCAATAACTATATGAGGGTCATCGCTACGTTCAGTACTCGCTACGATGTGGTAAATAATTCTACAAAACAGGTAGGTCGACAATTAGACAATACAGACCGACAAACACGCGCTGCCTAGATCCGACATGGAACTTATGCCACCCTTGGCGTAGTAGTTATATCTAGATAAAAAACGTCTTACATAAAGAAACTTGGATTTATCAAAAATCGAGCAACCGAGGACTCATTTCAATTAAATGTTTACAGAAAAGTTCTATTTTCGGATTTGAGAGAGCTTATCGCACGCGTGAAAAAATTCATGGAAAATATGAAAAGAGTAATTGCTCTACTTTGATGATAGTCGTTTAGTGGGGTAAAAATAGATTCAATGATTTCGGCTCCGAGTCTGGTCCCGCTTCGGTCTTCGGGGATATTGGTGTAATAGAGGGGAGTAGGTATTAGAGTCACCGCGGCCGATACTATTTCAATCAGATAAATGAGCTGTAAATGAGGATTTTAAGTCTTAGGGGCAGCTAGATTGAGGAAGGATATGGAAATTTGAGATACGAAGATTTTCGTTGCCAGCATCACATGTACGCACTGCGCCTCCTAAGTCCCGTCTTCCACAAATTCCAATTCATAAAGCAGACAAATTTGAACGGCGGTTAGGAGTCCACCTCACTCTCTAGTACGGTCCTTTCTAAAATTTTAACAATTTAGGCCCGAGGAAAAGCAATTTTTCAAAACTAACTTTGTTTATTCAAAAACGTTGATATAAATCTGGTATCGCACAATAAGTCTGCAATTTTGGGTGCCTTCCCAGAGATGTCATTAAAACTTAATTGCAAAATGTTCATGGACATGGTATAGATGGGTTTAATTGTTTGATTGGGGGCTCGTTATAGTGAGGCGTTTTGATACATTACTTGAATTCGGAGTTTGATTAGTTACAAGAAGGTGTGATCACTGGTTGGAAATTTGTTTTTTGAGGGGAATTTGCAACGAGCTGGCTAGTAAGGTGAGTAATTTTTGTGATATGAGGGAAGTAAATACGATTCTGTACAGGAGGCGCATTGAAAAACTCTGTGCGCGTTGAGCTTTTTCAGACTGCTGCATTTGAAAGGGATCCAACCACTTAAGTGGGACCTGACGCTGGCTGAATCTCAAAATATTTTGTTCGCAAGGAGATCATGTATAGGGACCATGCAAGGGTAGCATGGCTCATTATAAAAAAAATTTTCGCTGCAAAAATGGTTAATTAAATTCCACTGAAAATCTTTCACATTTTATGCGCCATTTACAAGTTCGTATTTGAAGATTTTTGTTAGGTAACTTTCAAAGATGAACTTAAATTGAACTCAAAATGAGCATATGTACCCCAGTGCATGTCCAATGCATTAAAATGCATGAATGGACATCTGTAGTTAGAGCATTTGAAAACTTTTTTCTGAAAAAAAAGAAAATCCGACATAGAACCTTTCCCATTCCTGGTGTAGTCGTTACCCTTAGACAAAAAATGTCCTGGGTTTCAGGAAATTTGAATTTATCAGAATTCAAGCAACCCAGTGACTCATTCAAATTAAACATTGACAGAAAAATTCTATTTTCTGATTTGATAAAGCTCGCTAATCGCAAGACTAAAAAAACTGAGAAATTGAAATAATTAATTAATCTTGTTTCATGATAGTCGTTTAGTGGGGTAAATGTAGACTCAATGATTTCGGCTTCGAGTCTGGTCCCGCTTTGGTCTTCTGGGATATTGGTGTAATATAGAAGAGATTGGGTATTAGAGTCACCCAGGACTATACTGTTTTCATCAGATAAGGGAGCTGTAATGGAGGATTTAAAGTCTTTGGGGCAGCTAAATTGAGGAAGGATATGGAAATTTGAGATAGGAAGATTTTCATTGCCAGCCTTCACTTGTAAGCATTGCGTGTCCTAAGATCCGTCTTCCACTATTCCTATTTCCCGTACAGACACAGGCGAAGTTGCACTGCGCATACACGAGCAGAAAAATGACCCACAACGCTACTGGGAAAAAATAAATGAGTAAAACTTTGTGTCCACAAAAATTCTTAAGTGACGAACGCCAATTATGAGTCTACATAATTGCTAAGTGACGCAAGCCAGTTATGACGCATTAGTAGTACCAGTCGATTTGAAAAAAAAACCAACTAACATGCCTCAACTTATAGAGCGGACGTATTTAACTAGTATACAAGAAGTTCATTAAAACATCTGACTCTGCCCAGGTTCGAACCCTCTTATTTTTTGCGGGTCTCCTTCCCTATCTCTACGCTACAGATCAATGATACCTTGAAGCTAAAGTGCTAATGTTATGTAATAGTCTGTGTTAGTATCCGTAGCATTGGCTGTACTTAATACCTGGTTATTGATCAAAATGAACACTTTGAAAATGAACACATTTTGTCGCAACAATTGTATCGAAACAATATTTGCGACTTAGTTTGGAAAAAAAGAGAGTTCATGCTATCACACAAGCTTTGCTTGCGTAATTAAGAACTAATCAATCTTCCACAGCGCAAAAACTAGAATAGCTTTGAAATGGTAACTGTAGCTCGCAAGTGATTTTTGAATATCTGGTCCCTTTTTTTCGACCGTTCCTAATTATTCCACACATTCACTTATTTTGATAAATCCGCAAATTTTCCAAAACGATGAACAACATGAGTCAAATTTGTAGATGCTTTAATGTCGACAACATTATTCACGAAATATTGAATACCATATTTGAATCAAATTACCAAAATGAATTTTATTTTGAACCTTCTGGTGGAATCAAAGATTACTCTCGATTTAAGTTTAAAACTCTTTTTCAACCTTTTCTAACGAAACCAAAAAAAGCTTAAGTTTCGAAAAAGAGCGTGATAAAGCCTAAACTTCGAGCGTGATAAAATTTAAGAATGTTCTTTGACAAAAAAACTCTAGCTACCTAAATAGGTGTCTTGTTCATCCGCAAATAATAAGCTGCTAACTTACGCCGTGGCCGATTCGTATTCATCATTGGTTACACTTGTGACCAAGTACACCCTTTTCTTTTGCAACATCGTTTTCAGGAACCCAACAGAAGGGTAGTCGTACAAGATAGAACCAGCACTTTGCTCTGTTGTAGAAGCTCCCCTACATTGATCCACAGCAGGCTGGATGATTCCTGGTAAGAAAAACTTGAAATATTGTTCAAACACGAATACAGAGTACTTCCCAGCTTAAGTCAACTTATGTCATCCAGAATTTACCGCGCTCCCACTTGTTTAGCGTTAAATGATTGGAAATGTCTTGTAACCGGTTTGAACAACAATTGATCCCCAAAATTGTTCTAAACATCTTTTCGTTCATTAACAGTAAAAAAATCAAAACGACCGTGACCGATTTCAGCTTACACAGAACTATAGAGTGGTAAGTTAGCTTTGAAAAATTAAACGTTACGCGTGAATGAGGCAACCCATTGAATTATTTAAGCATGAGTTGTCATCAAGATATCAATATTGACTATTTTAGTTTCGATGCTCAATTAAATCATTTTTCTACCCAAGATTGAGTTGATTGTTTGGCATGTAAAAAATATTGCTGATCGTTTCACGGTCATATTTCCGAGCCATGACTAGCTCCTTCCAACTTTTGAGATTTAAGCCAAATATTGGGTTAGCAAAAAATTTTAAAAAATCATTGAACTAACCTCCAAATCGCCCGTCGCCAGCCACCCAAAACGGAGAGTCCGTGACCAAGAAAATGACGTGCCTCGTATCCGATAGAGAGGTAAAGCCCAAATTATCCTTGCAAGCAAGGGCCTAAATTTAAAATAGCACAGATGTAATATCTTAGTTTCGATTACTTGTTAGCAGATAATTCACTAAAATGGGGTCGCGCAAATTGACTAGAAATCCATTTTTGCCAGAATATATTAATTTCAACCATGTTACAGAATTAAGACTTAAATAATTCAGCAATTAAACCGTTCGAATCAAATTTATATCCACCCAACTAAAACAGTTACAGCAGATGATGTTAACTTAGTTCAAAGATGGAGTTATGAGGTAGCAGATCTAAACTTATTCAATTGGGGGATTGGATGTTAAATTGGTTTAAAAATTCTATTATTCTGTTTAAGAAGCCTTTATTTCAGCTTGGCGAAAGAATGCGTCCTGCTCAACCTGTGCGATGACATCAATGTGTGCTTCTGGGTCATTATCAACGTCCAAGAGAATCTTGACTTGAATTTTTTCCACTTCTTCGTCGAAGCTGCTGAGATCGCTCGTCAGACTGTTCACCAGGGTCCAGAACTCGAACTCCTAGATTTAAAAAGTTTCAATTATTATTTTGTAGAAAACCCACCAATTAACTGAGTGAAGAAAAAATGATTCCTTGCTAATGAAAAGTTTTGCTAAAGGAGAGTTTCTAATGTGAAAAAGTTTGTCAGCCATCAATTCACTTAAAGAGCCCAAAAAATGATGTTACCTCATGTTCCTTTCGGTTTAATATCTGGATTTGAGCACAAAGTATTCTTTTTCAACAACAATTCAGCTCAATCAAAATTTCCCCACGTAAAAATTCATAGTTCCCATGCTGCTCGAATCCAAAAAAAAAACAATCGTTTTCGATTTTTTTTTTCATATGTACGGCTTAAGATTTCAGGAGATATTGAAACTAACTGATTTATCTTCGGGATTCGCTACGTTTATGTTGTCAAACAGTTTGGAAGCTGTCAAATTGACAAAGGTAAACGGGATTGCCTCCTTGTCATTGAAGAGCCCCAGCCCAACAATCGAGTTTTTCCATGTCTCCGTCACCTTCTTAGCCAGTTCTTTGGAGTTCACTTTCACTGAGTCCAATGCTCTCAGCATAGATCGCGAGGCATCCATAAGAAAGTACATCTGGTATGGAAGGTCAGGCTGCGATTTCACCTTAAATTGGATAATCAAATATCATTACATTTGTTAAAAAACGAGGTTACACAAAAGTGAAGCTACATATTACAAAAATCATACGAATTTTTTTTGAAAATCTTTCAGAAAATAGACCCAGGTATTTGAACCCCATATGTATCACAGGTATACGTTCAACTGACTGCGAATCCCAACCTTCAATTAGCTCAATATAGAAATATCGGCGTTTTTTTGAAGAAACGTTAGTTGTTAATTTTAGAGAACTGGATCAAGACGTAAATCTTTTCCTACGCAAACTCTGAAAACTATAGTCCACTTTTGAAACTATGAGTCAATCATCATTTTCGTGCCATTTGAACTTGTGATTGAAGCGCGTAACTTGTCTTCTAAGTTAAATGGGACGAGCAAAAAAAGACGAAGAAAACCACGTTACTTAAGTCAGTGAAATACATTTCGTTCATTATGCTTCACGGAGCAGTATGATCCAAAAGCAAAACAAACGAATTGAAGACATAATTAACGCCGCTATTAATTGTTTGTCGTGAAACCTAACTAGCGTGTAACGCACCTCCGGTACTCAAAATAAACCGCATATATTGGAAATAAGATCTGTATTCTTTGAGTGTACTCTGACAGCACCCAATTACAAGGTTCGTAATTACGAATTTTGCAGTTTTTTATTCAAGTTTTTCATACAAATTTTGAAGAACCATAATATTTTGTGGAGTTTTTTTATAAGTTCTTCAAAATTTTTTAAATGAACTAAGAAACGTCACATCTGGGAAACTAAAAGCAATTGAGCAGTCGCATTTGGACGCAAGATTTTCAACTTTTGAGAGTACTCTCATAGTACCCAACTAAAACGTTGGTAAATTCAAATTTTGAGAAAGTTCACCTTAAGTTTTCTAAAGAAGGTACTTTTTGAGAACCATAAAAAAATTTCACATCTCGAAAACTACCAAAATTTCAGCAATCTTATTTGATGCCGATATTCGCAATCTTTGAAAGTACTCTGACAGCACACAACTACAGGGTTGAGAATTTCACTTTAGTTAATTATTTTTTAATTTGAGTTCTCTGAAATTTTCCAAAAAAATCGTCATATATCTTAAGCTGAAAAGATTTGGGCATTCTCAATTGGAGGCTGAATTTGCGACCCCTGAGATTACTCTGAATGCCCCCAACTACAGGTTAGGAATTTCAAACTTTGAAAAAAAAATTAATTTAACTTTCATGAAAATTTTTTGGAAAAATCACAAAAAAAGTCATATATGGAAAACTGCAAGGTTTTGAGCAGTCATATTTGGAGGCAAAATTCGCAAAACCAGAGAGAACCCTGACAAAGCCTCACTACATAGATGGTAATTTCAAGTGTTGTGAAATTTTTTATATCTCAAGTTCTCTAAACAATTTTGAGAAAATCCTGAAAAACTTCATATCTCGAAAACTACAAATACTTGAGCAGCCATATTCAGTGGAAAGATTCGCAACCCCCTGAGAATACCCTCACATATTCCAATAAAAGGATTGAGATCTTCGACGTTTTGGAATTTTTTAACATCAAAGTGTTTTGAAAATTTCGTAGAAAATCATAAAGAACGTCAAAAACTAAAAGGATTTAAGCAATCATATTTGGAGGCAAAACTCGAAACTCCTGAGAAAACCTTGTCAGAGCCTCACCACAGAGGAGCGAATATCAAATTTTGTGAAATTTTTTATATCTAAATTTTCTGAAAAAATTTTGAAAAAAAAAAATCCTAAAAAAGCGTCATATCTCGAAAACTACAATGATTTGAGCAGCCACGATCAGAGGCAAAATTTGCAACCCTTGAGATTACTCTCACAATATCCAACAACAGGAATGAAATCTTCAACTTTTTGGAACTTTTTAAAATCTAAGTTTTTGAAAATTTTTAGAAAAAAATCATAAAACAACGTCATGTCTCGAAAACTACAAGGATTATAGAACTGAGATTTGGAGACAAGATTCGCAAACCCTGAGAGTACCCTGACAGCAGCCAACTACAGGGTGAGAATTTCAAAAATTGAGAAATTTTTTTAATTAATTTTTCTAAAATTTTTTTAAAAAAAATCTCGAAAATTGCCTATCTCGTAAACTAAAAGGATTTGGTTATTCATATATGGAGGCCAAAATAGCAAAACCTGGCAAAAAACTCTGAAAACATCCCAATATTAGGTTGCTAATTTTAAACTTGATGAAATAAACACTTAATTTAAACTGAAAATCGAAAAAAAACTGAACCATAGCAATATACGATATGGATTAAACGTGAAATAATTCTTTTGCTAAAAATGCAAAAATAATAGGTTGAAAAAGCCTAAACATGGCGTAATGGTGACGCCCGCAATTAAATATATAATAGATAGATGAAAGTTAAAAATTTAGGAGACGGGTAGACAGACAATCAAATTAATTTTAAAAAGCAGGTATACAGAGAGGCTTAATTTGGCCTCGCAAAAAAATTAATAAAAACTATTGACCTAGCAAAAAAAAACTAAATGAAACTTTTTTTAAGCATTTCAATATATGATATAGCTTAAACATGAAAAAACTCTTTCGTTAAACATGCAAAACTATTATGCTTAAACATGGGAGATAGCTGTCACTTGCATTTAAATATAGTATATATATAATAATAATATGAATTTAGCGTACGCAAGGGGTTATAGAGATAGATAGATATGGATAGATAGATTCCGAGGAACATTTTATATATGACAATTGCATCTGTGCTATAATCGAGGGTAGATTATAAATGACAATTCTCTTGATGCTTTAAAATCGACTTGATTTATTCATAAAATTTTGACGATGTGTTTATATAGCGTTGGTATGGCCCTATCCAACCTCTGCACGGACCGTCGCATGACGGAAGGACCTAATTCAATTTACCCTTTTTTACTAGCAGAAACATGGTCTGGCTAAAAACCAAAAAAGTATTTAAAAAAATCACTTATCAAAATTGAATTAAATAAGGTAACAGATCTATACCACATTAGAGGAAAACAAAACTACGGTTTAGAAAGTTTTTTTTCCAAATTAGTGTAGTTTTTTCTGCTTGGTCTGATCTGACCTAAAAATATAATTGAGGCATCTTAAACGGTCATAGTAATATAGGCAATTGGACAAAAACAAAAATTTTTGTAGAAAATGACTAGAAAGATTTTTTTTTCGAAATTTTTGAATTTTATGCTTCCCAAAAAGAAGCTAAATATCTCCGAAAACTTATTTTACTTGCTTAAAATAAGGTTTCAAAGTCTTAAATTAGGCACAATTTAGCTGTTGTAAGCATGCTCGTTTGCTTCATTCGCTCGAATTAAGACGAAAAGTCAAAAATTTCCAACCGGTTTTTCTCGAAATTAGGAAAAAAAAATTTCATATTTTTAATGTGGTTCGAATCAAGACTATAAGGGCTTTAATATGATATGTCAATCAACCCAGTCCGATGATTATTTTGCGTGGAAAACAATTTTGCGTGATTGGTACCTGATTGTGCGTGGAAAACAAAATAAACTAAAACACTGAATATAAAGTTCCTCCCCGTTTTCAATGGTCGGAACATTAACTCCATGTTTTCTTAAAAGAAGGTCAGCGATAAATTCAACTTTTCTAAAATAGATTGTCAAAAATGAATCAATTTCAAAAATGACCAGAAACTAATAGAAAAAACAATAGTTAAATAAGCTGACAGAATTAAAGCCGACACCCAATAAGATGAAAATCATCCAAAAGTTTCGGCAAAAAAATCGTGTTTACAAAATCTTACAAATAACACCGACTACTAACCAACTTTTTAGGTGGTAAATATAGGTGCTACTTAGCACCAAATAATCCACCTCTATCCAATTAATTACATTCACCATTCCTTTTAAAATGAAAGGACTCAAGGCTAGATTATTAGATCATATGTGGAGCTATTTTGTATAACATTATCAAGAGAACAATGCCTGTTCATGGATCTTTTATTGTCTTTGCAACAACTGCAGAATGAATTACCACACATGATCCACCACAACAACAACAACAACAACAACAACAACAAAATATTCCATTCAGTGAACAAGGTTATTTACAGGGAAGAAAGTCTAGAACCCGATTGCAAAAGTCCTAACTTCTCGAAAGTCTTAAAGTTTTGTGAATATAAACCCAATTATACTAAGCTTTGGAGGTTTTTCTTCAAATCTGGTTTTTTAAGTTTGCCTTACCAGATTTTTACTGAAGAACTTAATTTCATACAGTAATTTTTTAAGTTTTAAAATTTCAGCCATAAAGCCAGCTCTCACACTTATGTTGAATTGAAACAACTCGTCATCTCGCAAATTGATGGTGACTTTGTCTCCGTTGGAGGACATGCTGCTCTCAACATTTATAATCGACTTGTCGCTTGGACAATGATCGTAAGCATTCGAGCATCGACCCTCTGGATATTTTGCTGCATCGAAATCTCCATCAGCACACCATTTACATCTGGCACTCGCCTTGATGCACTCGTCGCAGGTCAATTGGTAGTTACAATCTAGAAGAAGATTCTATTTCTTTTCAAAAACAGAAATTATAAAATCAAAGCAAGTAAGTTAAAAACTCACCTTCGTTACCATGAACAAAAACAGCACAGGCAAGGAACACATAAACAATTTGTAGAACTCCCATTCCAAAATTTCTTTCGTTACTCCGACGTCGGCACATCCTCAGCCTGAAAAAATTTCCCATTTTTTTTCGCTAAAAGAAGTAAGTATTAAGGTCATTTCTATCATGCATTGACCAATGCAAAAATTAAAGATAGTTCTTTTTTACAATTTCAGTCAGATTAATTAAGTGATGGACTTTAACATCACAGAGAAGAAGTGGAGCTTCACGACACTAGCGATACATCACAATCAAAGTATTGCAAGCAGGCGAATGAAAGAGTTACACAGAAACAGAAGTGTAAGCCTTCATGGAAAAAAGGAATTTTTGAGAAGTATATTTCAAACGTTTTCGCAACTATGCGCATCACGGGGAATTTTACGATAAACTTATCTAAACGACGATAAAACATCAATTTACAAATATTATTTCTGACATTCGACCAGAATGGACCAAACTGCAGTTTCAACAGATTCGAAATTTTAGCAGCTAGCCTTCCGAATTGACGGTTTTAAGAGATTAACAACGTTATTGGGACGATTAGTCAAACGGTGAAGGCTAGAATATTTTGGTGTTTCAAATTTTCGAAGTATGACGTCATATTTCTGAGAAACGTCAGAAACGGCCATTTTGGCAGAAAACCGGAATAAAAACACAACAACAACATTAGTTCCGATAGCGATAACGACGAGAATTGTGATTGGAAAACAACAACAAATTGCAGAAGTAGCAGAGACCGTTCCGAGTTGCAACTATTGTGTCGCTACAATAGTTGCAAGGCCGTTGCGAACAACGGTGAAGGGTGGAAGACAGCCTTCCGGAAGGAGAATAAGAGTCTTATTTCCCCGGATTCAAGAATCCGGAGGGGTCTCGGGACTGAAACTTTTATCATCTTATAAAAACTTTTAGCTTCCCTGTTATGTCCTGAATTGAATTTAATTAACATCTGAATTCATTCTGCTAAGATGAGAAGCTAGGAGTTGGGGTAAAGGGACGATCCATCTTCGATGGAGATGATAATTTTTATCTACTGAACAAAAACAATAATAATTCAATAAATAGTAATAGCCCTGATTTTAGGAGTGACCTCGTGGTCTGGGGATACTGAGACCCAGCCATGAGCTCACTATTTCTGCATGTAATTAAGTTAATTTGAGTGTTTTGACCGAAGCCGAAAGCAGTAACGTTTTTGTCGACCGTATGTTAGAAAGACCACCGAAAGTACTGGCTTGGTAGAGACGGTGAAAAGCATGTAGTGCTCTGTTTAGACGTTGGCCAGTCGTCTTAGAACCTAGCTTTATTTTCCGTCGATACGTATCTTCCGGGCGAATGTTACATAGATGTTTTTATGGCGCTCCTGGGTGTTATTCTTTTTAACATCATGACCGACAGAACCGTTAACGAGCACTCCGCGCCGAGTGGATGCTCACATTAATGCCCTTAATAGGCCAAAACAGCCGGGGCGGAAGGGTTGTTTGGAACGCGGAAACCTTCCGGATTACCGTGAATAGCTTTTTAACCTAGTTAAGACCAAAAATTCACGAACCAGGAAGGGTGGGGGGATTCGCGGTCCCGTCATTTCCTGAGTGGTCCGTGACCAAAAACACTTAAAGATATATATAAAACCAAACAAAATGTAGTATAGTACCCAAGAAAAACAAAAAACATAACATAACAATACAAAAAAAAACACTAAAAAGGTCAAAAATCAGTAGAAATCATCCCCCAGACAAGATGTGATCCGACCCCCCCGTTTGTTGTGATAGATATATTGTTGTTACAGGCATTAATATCATTCAGGATTGTTACGATCAACTTTGTGGGGCCTGTTTGCGAGGCTTGTACTGTAGGGTTACTTGAGCATGTAAGCACGTTAATGATAAATTGCGCTCAATTCGAAAGGGTGTAACATTCGCCCGGAAGATACATATCGACGGATAACAAAACTAAGTCTTAAGACGACTGGCTAGCGTCTAAACAGAGCTTTGCATGTTTTTCACCGTCTCTACCAAGCCAGTACTTTTCGGTGGTCTTTCTTACATCAGGCTGACAAAAACGTTACTGTTCTCCGGCTTCGACCAGAACGCTCAAATTAACTAGATTACATGCAAAAATAGTGAGCTCATGGCTGGGTCTCAGTATCCCCAGACCACGAGGTCACTCCTAAAAACAGGGCTACTACTTATTATATTACTATTGTTTTTGTTCAGTAGATAAAAATCATCATCTCCATCGAAGATGGATCAACCCTTTCCCCCCTACTTCTAGCTCCTCATTCTTGTCAAAACGAATTAAGATCTTAATTAAATTCAAGTCAGGACATGACGGATGCTAAAATTCAATATAAGTTCATAAAAGTCCACGTCCCGAGACCCTTCCGGATTCTTGAATCCGGTGAATTAAGCTTCTTAATATCCAGTTCACAATAACTCGGAAGGCTGGGTTTTACCCTTCACCGTTGCTCGCAACGGCCTTGCAACTATTGTAACAGCACAATAGTTGCAACTCGGAACGTCCTCTGCTGTTCGGTAGTTCGTTGTAGTTTTTTAGTCTCGATTTCGTACTGTTCGTAATCGCAGATAAAAGTTGTTCTATTTTTTCTTGCTCTTTTTGCTAAAATGGCCGTCTCTGACGTTTCTCAGAAATATGACGTCATAATTCGAATTTTTAAAAACTAGAATTCCAGAATCTTCTAGCCTTCACCGTTTGGCTAATCGTTCAAATAACGTCCTTATCCGTTCTAAATCGCCAATTCGGAAGGCTTGCTGCTAAAATACCGAATTCTGCAGAGACTGCATTTTGGCCATTCTGGTCGAATGTCACATACTCCCCGGACAGTCCGGTCAATGTCCTCATTGAATCGCGCAATGTTCCAAATGGTCACAGTGTCATCGAACAGAATTTACAAAATGCACGGAATTACTTTTATCCTTGTCATATCAACTCACTGCAGAATATAAATGGCATCATACTACATCACTATAGCCTTCAAATTCTTTCATTAATCTGCACATTGAGAATATGACCTAAGATAAAACATGTTTTCTGACTTCCAGTGTCTATGTCCCGATTAAAACTCTTTTCTCTTAGATTTAAAAGGTGTTGGCTTGCAGGACAGTCCTGCCAACCAACAAGCTAAAATTATCCTACTATGCTCCTTCCCTTCGGAAATCTTGCTTGTTTATTGTCCTGAACATTAAAACTAAGAAACTTTGTGGTTAGAAAGAACAATGCAACAACTTCCCTCCTCAAGAAATTACTCAAGTTTTTCATGTCACCACAAAGTTATCAGTCTTCCTAAGTGATTAAAAACAATCATGCAGGCTGGAATATTTAAATATACTCTTCCCTCAAGCCTTTCTAAATAAATAATAAGTGAGTGTCTCTAAAGCCACTTCAACTAAAACCAAAATGCAAATTTATAAATGCAACAATTTCCAAACTCAACTAAATGTTTCAGTTTTCAATTACAACTTGGTTGCTTGGTTTCTCACTCGAGTTTTTCACACACATAAAACAATTCTGAGTTTTAACTTTTCTTCATTATCCCTTTGTTCTCTTCTTTTTTCGTCGTTTAGAAGTTCTAAAACTTCTAAATTCTTCTAATTTTCTTTCTTGCTGCCTCTTGTTTTCTCGACCATTCGTCAATGCTCCATTTCCTCCTCCTGTGACACTGACTCCGCACTTTCGGTTTCCGTGTCTTGTAGCACGTCATTGACTATCCTGACGCTGTTGGAAGCCGTCCTCCAACACTTCTGCTCTTCCACCCTCTGCTTACAGCAAGGTAGGGGATCCACGTTTGATTCTCTGTTTCTACAGAAGCTGTTGTGGAGACACAACGTCACGTTTCTCTCCAAATCTTCTTTCAGCATCTCTGCCTTCTCATTTTTACTACGCTCGCTCGTCCTGGAAATTCTTTTCACAGCGGTGGTCACTGCATTCCGATGGGTCACGAAAGCTCGCTTGAAAGCTCCTGCCCCAATGTCCAGCTGATATTCACTGTACACTCTGCCATGTTTCGACATATGCTTTTTCGCATACTCGTACAACCATGCAGTCATGTTAGCTCTGAACCATGGCATCAATCGTTTTCTTGCCCATATCTTCTTCACTTCCATCGGAATGTTTAGAACTTTGCACATTGTCTCAAAAAGATCTAAATCTTTTAGACAATCTAATTTCTGCAATTGTTCTCTCGTCGGTGCTTCCTGTCCATTATTTTCTCTCACATGAGCTTCCAGCCATCGTATCGCCATCATAACTCCCACTATCACTATTGTTATGGGCTGTGATGAATCTGGTAAACCCATGGAGAGCAGCTCTCCAGAGTCCCAGATCAACACCAGATTACTACGCTTGGGATACCACCAGGTCTGCAGCAAGCAGTGGCAAGGAAACTCGTCATGTGTCAACATGATGCTCCTCCAATTACGTTTTCCCGAAGCTTCCAGCAATGGTTCCACTTCCATCATCACTCGGTGGATTTCATCATTCTCATCTACTGCATTGTAATCTGAGACAGTTGATCCTCTCTGTTTCTGTTTTTCGAAGTCACTGAAGTTCCCGCTCACATATCCCATGAACTTCTTTCCTAGTATTGACTCCAACTCCTCTTTGGTTCTTTCTGGGACTGCTGAGAACATCTTACATAGTAACTCGTAAGACTTTTCAGACATTCTCGCCAATCTCACGCACTTTGGCACTGAGAAAGCTTGATCCACGATCGTTCTTGTGCTCTTCACGTCCACAGCTACGAAATGTACAGGATACTTGCTCTTGCACATTGGAGCCAACATTGAACCCACCAAATATCGTGCTCCTGATGGTCTACAATAAGTTTCGCTGTGTCTGATGTTCATCTCCGTTTCGATTGCTTCCCTCCATTTTCCTATATACTTCTGCTCAGTCTGCAGAACTCCTGGGAATACTTCTAGGCTGATGGCTGTGACCATCTCATGTTTCTGTTCTAGATTCAATAGTGACTCTAAAGAACCAAACATGCTGTAGAATCCTAGTGCTGTCACTAGATTCACATCGGTTCCTCCATGGCAATCTGCTATCAGTTCCGT